GTATCAAAACAACGTAAACCTCCTACCATGCAGACAGTGCAGAAGCTCAGCAAACAACATCCCTCCTGACTCTGGAACGTCATGCTATGCAAGTCCTGCTTTTCGTGAAAGCGCTGCAAGCACCGCAAGCCATGTCCAGTGAGACGCAGCACGCATGCTGGTGCATCTGCCGGTGGCGGAGATGGTGTTCCATTTGCCAATCCCAAGAAGACGTTTGCAGGGCAACAAGGCCTGCATTCGCCGGGGGTTGCCGCAGCGAGGTTTGGTTCTAGATGAAATCTACCGTCTTTCACACCGCCATGTTTCTGCTACTCTAAAGCTTGAAACTGGATTCACCCAACAGGCCTAGGCTGAAATTTAAATCGGGCAGAAGAAATCTAAACTGCAGGCTGCCAGTCAAACAAAGGCATTGCCGCGTTGCATAGTAGGGATCGATTGGTTAGAATATGATCCACACTTAGATATGAAACTATATTCTTGGGTCTCTTGCCAACTTTATCAGCTCAAGGATTGTTCAACTGAAGGGATCAGGATTTGACTGGCAGATCATTTCACTACCGACAGCCCTGGTTGGTTCTTCATGCTGAGCCTAAGAATAAGTGTCACGACAACACAGCCTGGTGGGACTCCAAGTCTTGGAACTCCGAAAAGCCAAGCACTGCTTCGCCCAGCTCGCTGCGTGTGAAGCGAATGCATCCAAGGAGCTCTCTTCAGGATTGGCCAAGTCCTGCACAGGTATGTAGTTGATTTAGGGAAGGCAAACTGAAGAGAAGAAAACATGAAATGCTACAGCTGTCTCTTCACCCTTTGCATCAGTACTGCTATGCTTGTGTCAAAGAAAGTATGACAACACCAAATGATCCAATTCCATTCTGTATGCTGATTCTACCAAAGCAATCCATGCACATTTCTCATACCCAAAAACAGTCCTCGTCTGCTTTCGATTTTGAAGCATCTTCCATGCCACATGCACGTGGTTCCAGCTGTTGCTGGGCAGACGTCTGCACTTGGCTAGTGCCTGACTCGCTTTCCTGTGTTTTCAGAGCATGTTCTGCGGCGGCGTTTGCAGCTGCAAATGTCATCAATGACTGCTCATTGACTTTCTTGTGACCCTTGAGCCAAAGATCATCCAGCTCCATCTTATCTTTATCCTGCCTTTCAAAACTGATTTCCTGCTCAGCACTTTTCTCCTTCTTGACCTTCACACCATCAGCAAGTTCTATCTCTACTGAGCTTGGACCCGTGGTCTGCATGTTTTGCTGCACATCTCGGCGGGTCAGGCGCCGGCGCTTGGCAACCGGCTTGGGCTCTGGTTCAGCTGCAGTTTGACTATTCGCAGCCCTGTTGCTCTTCTCAATGTCCCTCTCCTGCGTTGCAACTTCAGAGTGGTCGGACTGGCTTTGTAAGCTTTCAAAAGCTTCACCGTGCTTGGGCTCTTCTTCCATCTCTTCTTTCATCACGATCTCCTTGCGGGTAAGATCATCCAAACTTGAGGACTTGCAGGTTTGCTCCTGTTCTATCTCTTCCTTGATCTCGCCCTTCACCTGCAGCCAAAGATTATCCATCTCCATCTTCTCCTTATCTTGTCTTTCAAACTTGACTTCCTGCTCAGCACATTTCTCGTTCTTGGCATCCACACCATCAGCAAGTTCTATCTTTGCTGAGCTTGGACCCCCAGTCTGCATGGTTTGCTGCATATCTCGGCGGGTCAAGCGCTGGTGTTTGGCAGCAGATGATTCCTCAAGTGATTCCATCAGTTCTTGCCGTGGCGTGGTACGATTCACGTTCCCAGGCCAACAGCTTTTGAGCGACGCCTGGGGTGCTTGGAAAATTGAGCCCCAAATGGCAGCATACAACGTGCTTGATCCCCATTGTTGTGTGGCGAATCCACATCATCCCCGTCAAGAAATCACGTGTGTTTGATTCTTAAATCGAACAAGACCTCCATAACTACTAGGTGAGGCATATCCCTTTTATAAATGTATATGTATTTATATATACGTATATATACATATATGTGTGTGTGTGTTTGTGTGTGTAATATATCCTTCTAATAAACAAGTATTAATTAACTTGTACTTAGGCCAGAAAAAAAAACACACCCCATCCCCATCTAATGATTACCTCATAGTTTCCCACCAATAATATATCATCCCAAATTTGCCGGTTGAATCATCTCCATCCCCAAATGCCACAGGATCTCCTTCGCGATGCCCGCCGCCAGCTGCCTTCGGTGCCGCGGCAAGGCCCATGCCAATTGCGCGCGAAAAACGTGAAGTTTTCATAGGTAAATCATGGTAAATCATTTTATAAATGGATGATGTTGTACAGCAAGATTTCGTTTCACAGGAAAGTATGGGCTTTACATGGTGTTAATGGATTTATTGATCAACTGGATGGGATTTATTGATGGAAATAATGGGGATCAACCAATCTATCTGCTGTATCTAAAGTATCCAAACATGTGGCATCGAACTGGGGCAACCAAAAGAAATGAGCCACCCATCCAAAACTAGGCATGGCACCAACAACAGTGACACTGTTCCTTCCATCAGTTGATTTGTTCAGGAAAGTGGTATCTCATCTACCAAGAAGCTTTTTTTAACCACCCACCCAAACTAGGTTGTTTCAGATCTCCCACTAAAATCGGATGAAAATTCACCACTTTTTGTCCGTCAACTCCCTGCCTCCCAGGTTGCAAGCGCCCTTCTCTTGCAGGGTTTCCCAGATGCTCTCCACAAACGTCACGCGCGCACAGATCTGCCATTGGGTGTGGAAAGAGAAGTGACTCGTGGTTTAAAACCGAGACCCACTGGGGTCATGCTTCACCTATGAAGGGGTCAGCATGTTTTTCCATTGAAAAAAAATTGTTTCTGACCCACTCTAGCGGTGAATCATTCAATGTTGAAGCTACTTCTGTTGATGATCAGTGATGCCCCTTATGGTATCCAAGGTCCTTCATGTGGATATATGAATGGAGTCGTCTATAAATGGAAAATCTGATCAGGATATGGGATATGATATAGTGGTCTACAAGTTCAACTGGACAAAAAACAATTGGAAAAAATGGGGAACGGCATGGGATGTGGGGGGAATGCTAAGAATAGAATGAAATTATAGAATGAATTTAATAAGGACGGTAATCTTGGGATATAAAATGAAGAATCAACTAAGCATTGATAGCATGCTTGTAGGCACAGCCCTCTGAGAGCCAGCAAAGTAAAAAAAAAAAACACCAAATGATAGTTTCGAGATTTGTCATCAGAGGGATTCTTAAAATCTCCATCAACGATGTTACCACCCCCTTGTCTACTCGGGGCCCGCCACTGCACATGTGTTGGGAGATGATCAAGTGGATAGTCTAATGCTGAGAATTGTGAGAAATTCTAGGTGGCAATTTTCGATCAATCTGACGAATGCTGTTTTTCTAATTGGGAATGGTCCAAGAATAGACTGCCAGAGAGATCGCTTCATTGGTATATATTTTTTGTGTGGAAGGGATCGAATGACATGCTTTGAAATTATATGAGCCATATACATACAGTATCTCCTCCCTTGCTCGACATTGACATCGACACGACGCCTCGTCTCAGGATCTTCTTCCAGCTGTCGCAAGACCTCGTAGCCATCGATCAAGAAGTTGCCGCCCTCCTCAGCAGGAAGTTGGGCCTCCAAACGACAGGTAACGTGGGTTTAGTTCACAGGGTTACCCTCTGGCAAATGGAAAATCCCGAACTAAATGGAGGTTTGTAGCTGGGAAAATAAAATATAAATGGGGGATGTTCAAGTGCCATGTTTGATTACCGGAGGGTAACTGGGATGTATAGTGGATGTATCATGACGTATCATGATGCGTCTATGGTCAATAGTGAGATTATAGACAAACTTGTAGCGGGGGAGCCTTCCCATGGTAACCCAATGTTTGGGGATGAAACCAGCAACCAATGAGGATTATAAACCAATGGAAATTTGCCAGCAAGAAGATGTCCTTCTTGTAGGTGGCTAGTTTTCCAAATCCAGGGGTTTCTTCCCTCAGCAAAAACATCAAATCACCAGGCACACCTCTCAGGCGCGCAGAGGAGTAAGAAGTTGTCTGGGAACCTGCAGCGATGGCTGGGTGCGAATTCTCAAACGTCAATCTGAGTTGGTGAAGTCTCACAATAAGGGATCACGTATGAAACCAAGGTTTCAAGTTTCGTTTCGAATGGTTTTAATATCAGGAAGATAAGATAAGATATGGGTCAAGTGTTTAAGACCTTCAAAACATTTTGTCGCATGTTGGTATAAGCGCAATGATTTTTAAGTGCGGGAGCCCCAACTGGACGCCCGAAATTAAGAAACTCTGATGTAACCATCCCGAAATAGGTCAAGAATCTTGAGCCATACCGCCATATGTGTTGAATATATCTCCTATGACACTGCAGATGTTCTATGGATTTTCCCATTAAAAAAACATGTTCGATGCATTTTCCCCCCCAAAAAAATACCTTTTTTGGTGATTTTTCTATCTTCACAGGTCCCAGAAAACCCACGAGTTTCCCCACCATTGGGCCCAAGGAGCTCATCTCCATAGGCATTGCCATCAGAAGTATGGGCCTTTGAAGGTATCGTCCTGTGGCGGGGTGTGGTCATCTCACCATGATGGGGAATCCTTCTGATGACTGCATCAATCCCTACAAATGGATACAAATGGTGGTTAAATAAGATAATTTCTCTAATTCAATCATCAATTTCAGCCTCACTTTGGGTGCATTCAGCATGATTCGCATATTTCCCTCCTATCCCACCTATCCCTATTCCCATTCCATCCCTGTGCTCCAAGTTTAGGATTCCAGCTCAAGTGCGCAGAATGGAATCTTCCCACTGTGATTACAAATGAATGGATGGGAAGAAAGGCACTCTTGATTTATTTCCTGCGCATCATGTCAGGTGAGGATTGTCTTTACGGGGCGCAGCGTCAGAAACTGAGCCGTGCATCTTGGCATCCGTGACTTTTGCACTCACTTTCGCTGCTTCTTCCCAGGCTTCGCCTTGGACTTCACAGCCTTCCCTTCCTTCTCCTTCTCCTTCTCCTGCTTCTTCCTCCATGCCACAGCCACTTGGAAGGAGCGATCCAGCTCCGCCTCCGAGTGGTCCTTCGGTTTCACCGTGAAATGTCGATTGGCTCCCGCCACTTGGCACTGAGCATGCCACTGCTGTGACCTCTGCTCCCAACTGACCCCAAGGTAGGGCACCTTGGGGTGGAACACCGGCAGCTCCGACAGGGTGGCCACGGGCTTCACCTGGCGCTGCAGGCCGGCCTTCTCCACGAGCTCCAAGGCCTTGGCCTCGGCCACCGCCTTCTCGGTGAAGTAGCCGCCGTGAATCTTCTTCTTGTCACCCTTCGGGGTGATCTCCACCCGCCACTTTTGCTGATTCTTTTGCCACCTCACCCCCAGCACTTCGCTGGTGAAGTTGGGGTCCCGCGGCTTCGGCTCGCTGAGGATGCCCTTCTCCACCAGCTCTGCACGGAAGGCCCTGGCGGCCTCGAGAGCTGCTGCATCGGCCTGGGCCTCGGAGATGCCTGGGCCCATGAAGTTGTTCACTGAAAACTTTCGATTTGTCCACCCGCTCCGTTTTCCTTTTGAATCAATTTTGGGAAAATTGACCTCCCAGGCACAAAGGATGTTCCAGCGGATGTTTGGAATGCCGCTTTGCTTCGCCAAGTTTTTTCTCTTGAAATGAGCTGGCTTCTGCTCCTCACAAGGTGGTGGTGGATTCTCTGCAGCGGCCACTGCGATTGGGGCTTCTTCTTTGATCTTTTCGTCTGAAGGTTTCACCTGCTCTGCTGCAAGACCTACAGATTCGAAGACTTCCACGCCTTGCATGGCATGGCTGCCGCCTGAGGATGAGAGCCGTCGGAGCCCGTTCTCATCAAAAGCCCAACCACGACCGGCCCAAACAGAAGTTGGCAGATCCCTCATCCACGGCCACCTCTTGGTACAATCCATGCTGCGGACCTTGTTGTCCTGATGCTGGCAGCACAGAACAAAGCGTAGTTCTCTAGGAAAATGCAAGGCCTCACCTGGTTGTGCTACAGTCTAATCGTTCTAGATCAATATTAAAGTGACAAATTGAAGTTGAAGATCGGAAAATCTGGTGGTGGGACGAGTTGCTTTGTGAGTTGCTAACAATCCTCCTATGCACACCATGATGCATCACATCTCTGCAAACACATATTCAACGACAAATTGTGCAGTGTAGGGAGAGTCGGTCCTGCATGCTCAAGTCGCAATCTCGTGGGGGCTCTTGTGGCGACATGTTCCAGGGCGTCTGAGATGCCTCTGCCTGCAGGGAAGGGTTTGAAAAACATGTGGCACCAAGTGTTTGAAGTCCCCACCCCTCTCTCTCTCTCTCTCTCTATCTCTCTCTCACAACTTTTGTCTCAACCCTGTTTGATTTACAAGAAGCAAAGAAGCAAACATTTGAATCCAAAGCGTAGTAAGTGTGTATCAAAACAAAGTAAACCTATGTAAACCTCATACCATGCAGACAGGGCAGAAGTTCAGCAAACAACATCCCTCCTGACTCTGGAACGTCATGTACTGCAAGCCCTGATTTTCGTGAAAGCGCTGCAAGCACCGCAAGCCATGTCCAGTGAGACGCAGCACGCACGCTGGCGCATCTGTTGGTGGCGGAGATGGCGTTCCGTTTGCCGAGCCCAGGAAGATGTTTGCAGGGCAACAAGGCCTGCATTTGTCCGTGTTGCTGCAGGGAGATTTGGTTCTAGGTGAAATCTACCGTCTTTCACACCACCATGTCTCTGCTTCTCTAAAGCTTGAAGCTGGTTTCACCCAACAGGCCTAGGCTGAAACGTAAATCGGGCAGAAGAAATCTGAACTGCAGGCTGCAGGTTGCATACCATAGTAGGAATCAAATAATTACAATATGATCCACAGTTAGATATGAAACTATATTCTTGGGCCTCTAGCCGAGTTGATCAGCTCAACGATTGTTCTCATTGTCGGATGGAAGGCATCAGGATTTGACAGGCAGATCATTTCACTACCGACAGCCTTGGTTGGTTCTTGATGCTGTGTGCCCACTGTGGGCTGAGAATAAACTGTGTCACGACAACACGGCCTGGTGGGACTCCAAGTCTTGGAACTCCGAAAAGCCAAGCACTGCTTCGCCCAGGTCGCTGCGTGTGAAGCGAATGAATCCAAGGAGCTCTCTTCGGGATTGGCCGAATCCTGGGCAGAAATGTGTAGCGGATTCAGGGAAGGCAAACTGAAGAGAAGAAAACATGAAACGCTACAGCTGTCTCCCTTTGCATCAGCACTGCTATGCTTGTGTTAAAGAAAGTATGCAACGCCAAACATTTCAATTTTCTTTTGGATGCTGATTCTACCAGAGCAATCCAGACGCATTTCTCACCCAAAAAGGTCCTCGTCTGCTTTCGATGCACTTGGTTCCAGCTGTTGCTGGGTAGATGTCTGCACTTGGCTAGTGCCTGACTCGCTTTCCGGTGGTTTTGGAGCATGTCCTGCGGCGGAGTTTGCAGCTGCAAATGGCAGCTTGACTTTCTTGTGAACCGTGAGCCAAAGATCATCCAGCTCCATCTTCTCTTTGTCCTGTCTTTCAAAACTGATTTCCTGCTCAGCACTTTTCTCCTTCTTGACCTTCACATCATCAGCAAGTTCTATCTTTGCTGAGCTTGGACCCCGGGTCTGCATGGTTTGCTGCATATCTCGACGGGTCAGGCGCCGGCGCTTGGCAACCGGCTTGGGCTCTGGCTCACCTCCGTTTTGACTATTCGCAGCCTTGTTGCTCTTCTCAGCTTCCCTCTTCTGCGTTGCAACTTCAGAGTGGTCAGACTGGGTTTTTAAGCTTTCAAAAGCTTCATCGTGCTTGGGCTCTTCTTCCATCTCTTCTTTCATCATGATCTCCTTGCAGGTAAGATCATCCAAACTTGAGGCCTTACAGGCTTGTTCTTGTTGTTCCTCTTGTTCTATCTCTTCCTTGATCTCGCCCTTCACCTGCAGCCAAAGACTAAACATCTTCATCTTCTCCTTATCTTTGCTTTCAAACTTGACTTCCTGCTCAGCACGTTTCTCCTTCTTGGCATCCACACCATCAGCAAGTTCTATCTTTGCTGAGCTTGGACCCCCAGTCTGCATGGTTTGCTGCATATCTCGGCGGGTCAAGCGCTGGTGTTTGGCAGCAGATGATTCCTCAAGTGATTCAGGTTCCCAGGCCAACAGCCTTTGAGCGACGCCTGGGGTGCTTGGAAAATTGAGCCCCAAATGGCAGCATACAACGTGCTTGATCCCCATTGTTGTGTGGCGAATCCACATCATCCCCGTCAAGAAATCACGTGTGTTTGATTCTTAAATCGAACAAGACCTCCATAACTACTAGGTGAGTCATATCCCTTTTATACATGTATACATATATATATATGTGTGTGTTTGTGTGTTCTAATAAACAAGTATTAATTAACTTGTACTTAGGCCAGAAAAAGAAAAAAACCTCCCCATCCCCATCTAATGATTACCCCATAGTTTCCCACTAATGATATATCATCCCAAATTTGCTGGTTGAATCATCTCCATCCCCAGCTGCCACAGGATCTCCTTCACGATGCCCGCCGCCAGCTGCCTTCGGCGCCGCGGCAAGGCCCATGCTGCCTGCGCGTGAAAAGCGTGACAAACGTGGCCTGGATCCCTCTGGTAAACTAACATGGCTATGGTGAATCACATTTTTTAATAGGTAAATCATTTCTAAGAACCAAGAAGAATTGAAGATCGTGGTAATTATGATAACAACACAAAATGGGAGACTCCAACCATGTTTTCATAGGTAAATCATGGTAAATCATTTATAAATGGATGATGTTGTACAGCAACATTTAGTTTCCCAGGAAAGTATGGGTTTTAACATGGTTTTGTTGGATTTATCCATCAACTTGCAACTTGATCGGATTTGTTGATGGCAATAATGGGAATCGACCAATCTATCTGCTGTATCTAAAGTATCCAAAAATGTGGCATTGAACTGAGAAAACTCAAGATAGTGCGATGTTCATTAGCAAAAAAGCAACAAAAATGGGAAGTGAACCGACAATACCTGGAGGCGAACCAAGGAGAATTGGAGATAGTTAATTATGATAATAACCAACAAAAAGTTGGATAATCCAACCAAAAGAAACGAGCACACATCCAAAAGTAGGCATGTCATCAACAATGGTGACACTGGTGATTCCATCAATTGATTTGTTCAGGAAATGTGGTATCTCATCTACCAAGAATAGTGTGTTAAACCACCCAAACTAAGTTGTTTCGGATCTCCCGCTAAAGTCGGCTGAAAATTCACCCCTTTTTGTCCGTCAACTCCCTGCCTCCCGGGTTGCAAGCGCCCTTCTCTGCAAGGCTTCCAGGATGCTCTCCACAGACATCGCGCGCGCGCACAGGTCTGCCATTGGGTGTGGAAAGGGAAGTGACTCGTGGCTTAAAACCGAGACCCACTGGGTTCACCTATGAAGGGGTCAGCATGTTTTTCCATGAAAAAATTATGTTTCTGAACAACTCTAGTGGTAAATCATTCAATGTTGAAGCTACTTCTGTTGATGATTAGTGATGCCCTTATGGTATCCAAGGCCCTTCATGTGGATATATGAATGGAGTCGTCTATAAATGGAAAATCTGATCGGGATATGGGATATAGTCTGTCTACGGGTTCAACTGGACAAAAACCAATTGGAAAAAATGGATAAAAATGGGGGATCGGCATGAGATGTGGGGGGAATGCTAAGAATAGAATGAAATTATAGAATGAAATCAATAAGTACGGTAATCTTGGGATATAAAATGAAGAATCAACTAAGCATTGATAGCATGCCTGTAGGCACAGCCCTCTGAGAGCCAGCAAAGTTAAAAAAAACACCAAATGATATATAGTTTCAAGATTTGTCATCAGAGGAATTCTTAAAATCTCCATCAACGATGTTACTACCCCCTTGTCTACTCGGGGCCCGCCACTGCATGTTGGGAGATGATCAAGTGGATAGTCTAACGGTGCGAATTGTGAGAAATTCTAGATGACAATTTCGATCAATCTGACGAATGTTTCTCTGATTGGGAATGGTCCAAGAATAGACTGCCAGAGAGAGCCGTTCTTTGGTATATATGTTTCCATTGATAGGCATACCATGAAATTGATTTGAAATTGATTTCAGCCACATTTATGCAGTATCTCCACTTTTAGGAAGATATCTCCCCATTTAATCATTTTCCCCATCACTACTACTGGCATTTGACCGATCCACACCATTCCATCTTCCTCCCTTGCTCGGGATCGACGCGCCGCCTCGTCTCGGGGTCTTCTTCCAGCTGTCGCAAGATCTCATAGCCATCGATCAAGAAGCTGCCGCCTCCCTCCTCGGCAGGAAGTGGGGCCAAACGACAGGTAGCGTGGCTTTAATTAACTAGATTACCCTCTGGCAAAGGGAAAATCCTGAACTAAATGGAGGTTTATAACTGGGAAAATCATCTATAAATAAGGGATGTTCAATTACCACGTTTGGTTACTGGAGGGTAACTGGGATTTACAATGGATGTATCTATAGTCGCTATATGCCAATAGCGGTAGGTGAGATTATGCACCAACTTGCAACTGCGGGGGCCTTCCAACAACAAATCAATGTTTGGGGATGAAACCAGCAACCAATGAGGATTATAAACCAATGGAAATTTGCCAACAAGAAGATGTCCTTCTTGTGGGTGGCTAGTTTTCCAAATCCAGGGCTTTCTTCCCTCAGCAAAACCATCAAATCACCGCGCACACCTCGCAGGCGCGCGGAGGAGCAAGAAGTTGTCTGGGAACCTGCAGTGATGGCTGGATGCGAGTTCTCAAACGTCAATCTGAGTTGGCGAGGTCTCACAATAACGGATTCCAATTCATGAATTGATCCAGTATGATATAGATATGGGTCAAGTTTTGAGACTCTCAAAACCAGAATGTCGCGGCATTTTGTAGCATGTTGGTATTGACTCTCCTATTCTTGTAGGGGTACAAGATTGTTGTCCACACCTAAAATATCAAGTTTGGTCCAATTCTTTTAATGTTTTCCGTGGTGAATTTCCAGTGTGGGAGCCCCAACTGGACGCCCGAAATTGGGAAATTCTGCCGGATGGAACCATCCCGAAATGGGTGTCAAGAATCTTGAGCCATACCGCCATATCTATGTGTTGAATATCATGGCACTGCAGATGTTCTATGGATTTGTTCATAAAACCTTCGTTTTTGGCGGCTTCTTCTATCACAGGTCCCAGAAAACCCGCAAGTTCCCCCACCGTTGGACCCATCAGTGTGGGCCTTTGAAGGTATCGTCCTGTGGCGGCCATCTGTACCAAGCTACATGGAAAAAAGGGGTATGGTCATCTCACCATGATGGGGAATCCTTCTGATGACTGCATTAATCCCTACAAATGGATACAAATGGTAGTTGAATACGGGTATTTCTCTGATTCCATCATCAATTTCAGCCTCCCTTTGGATGCGTTCAGCATGATTTGTATATTTCCCTATCCATCCCTATCCATCCCTATCCATCCCTATCCCTATGCCTATTCCATCCCCGAACCGCAGGTTTCGGACTTGAGCTCTTCCCAGTGTGATTGCAAACGAACAAGTGGGAAGAAAGGCTCTCTTGCTTTTTTGCAAACATGTCAGGTGAGGGTTGTCTGTCGGAAACTGGGAAACTGGGCATCTGCGGCTTTTGCACTCACTTTCGCTGCTTCCTCCCAGGCTTCACCTTGGACTTCACAGCCTTGCTTTCTTTCTCCTTCTCCTTCTGATTCTCCTTCTTCTGCTTCTTCTTCCATGCCACTGCCACTTGGAAGGAGCGCTCCAGCTCCGCCTCCGAGTGGTCCTTGGGCCTCACCCTGAAATTTCGCTCCACACCACCAAGGCTGCATCTTGCACGCCACTGCTGCTCTGCCTGGCTCCAAATCACCCCTGGGTAGGGCACCTTCAGCTGGAACACCGGCAGCTCCGACAGCGTGGCCACGGGCTTCACCTGGCGCTGCAGGCCGGTCTTCTCCATGAGCAACAAGGCCTTCGCCTCGGCCGTCGCCTTCTCGGTGAAGTAGCCGCCGTGGATCCTCTTCTTGCCGCTCTTCGGGGTGATCTCCACATGCCACTTTTGCTTGCCCTTCCTCCACTTCACCCCCGGCACTTCGCTGGTGAAGTTGGGGTCCCACGGCTTTGGCTCGCTGAGGATGCCCTTCTCCACCAGCTCTGCGCGGAAGGCCCTGGCGGCCTCGAGAGCTAGTGCGTCGGCCTGGGCCTCGGAGATGCCTGGGCCCATGAACTTCTTCACGGAAAAGACTCGACCCGTTTTGCCAATCATCCTGCCCTGTGAGTCAATTTTGTGAAAGTTGACCTCCCATGCCTGCAGGTGATTCTTCCACTGGACATTGGGAACACCACTTTGCTTCGCCACATTGATTCTCTGGAATCGACTTGGCTTCTGCCCCTCGGCAAGTGGCGGGGGATGCTCCTCAGCAGCCACTGCGATTGGGGTGTCTCTAATCTTTTCATTTGAAGGTTTCACCTGCTCTGCTGCAAGACCTACAGATTCGAAGACTTCCACGCCTTCCATGGCATGGCTGCCGCCTGAGGATGAGAGCCGTCGGAGCCCGTTCTCATCAAAAGCCCAACCATGACCAGCCCAAACAGAAGTGGGCAGATCCCTCATCCAAGGCCACATCTTCATGCAATCCAGGTCGCGGACCTTGTAGTCCTGCGGAACAAGGGGTAGCCCTCTGGGAAAACGCAACGCCTCACTCGTCTGCGCTGCTACATTCTAGTCACTCTAGAGCACGATTTGAGTCACAAAATGAAGCTGAATATCTGAAAATCTAGTGGTATGATGAGTTGCTTCATTAGTTGGTAACAATCCGCAACAATCTTCCTACGCACACCATGACGCATCACATCTCTGCAAAAATCTTTCAACGGCAAATTGTATAGAGAGAGAGAGAGAGTCGGTCCTGCATGCTCAAGTCGCAATCTAGTGAGGGCTCTTGTGGCGTCACGTGCAGAGGCGTCTGAGATGCCTCTGTCTGCGGGGAAGGGATTGAAAAGCAGCTGTTTGAAGTCACCAGCCTTCCCTCTCAACTGTTGTCCCAACCACGTTTGATTTGCAACAAACAACTATGTGAATCCAAAACGTAGTAAGTGTGTATCATAGCGATGTAAACCTTATACAATGCAAAGTCTGGGCAAACGGTTTGGCATGCGGCAACGTGCCTCCTGACTCTGGAACGTCATGCTGTGCAAGCCCTGCTTTTCGTGAAAGCGCTGTAAGCACCGCAAACCATGTCCACTGAGACGCAGCACGCATGCTGGCGCATCTGGTGGTGGAGGAGATGGTGTTCCATTCGCCAAGCGCAAAAAGAAATTCGCTGGGCAACAAGGCCTGCATTTGCGGGGGTTGCCGCAGCGAGATTGCGTTCTAGGTGAAATCTACCGTCTTTCACATAACCATGTCTCTAGTACTCTAAAGATTGAAACTGGATTCATCCAACAGGCCTAGGCTGAAATGTAAATCGGGCAGAAGAAATGTCTGTTGCAGGCTGCCACTCAAACAAAAGGCATTGCCTGAGAGATCCAATGATTAGAATTGATTGGATATAGTAAAATCATGTTTGGGTTTTTTACCGAATTGCTCAAGGATTGTTCTCATTGTCCGACCGAAGGGATCAGGATTTGACTGGCAAATCATTTCACTACCGACAGCCCTTGTTGGTTCTTGATGCTGTGGGTCCACTGTGGGCTGAGAATAAACTGTGTCACGACAACACGGCCTGGTGGGACTCCAAGTCTTGGAACTCCGAAAAGCCAAGCACTGCTTCGCCCAGGTCGCTGCGTGTGAAGCGAATGCATCCAAGGAACTCTCTCCGGGATTGGCCGAATCCTGGGTAGAAATTTGTAGCGGATTTAGGGAAGGCAAACTGCAGACAAGAGAACATGAAGCGCTACAGCTGTTTCTTCACCCTTTGCATCAGTACTGCTATGCTTGTGTTAAAGAAAGTATGCAACGCCAAACATTTCAATCTTTTTTGGATGCTGACTCTACCAGAGCAATCCAAACGCATTTCTCACCCAAAAAAGTCCTCGTCTGCTTTCGATGCACTTGGTTCCAGCTGTTGCTGGGTAGATGTCTGCACTCGGCTAGTGCCTGACTCGCTTTCCGGTGGTTTTGGAGCATGTCCTGCAGCTGCAAATGGCAGCTTGACTTTCTTGTGAACCGTGAGCCAAAGATCATCCAGCTCCATCTTCTCTTTATCCTGTCTTTCAAAACTGATTTCCTGCTCAGCACTTTTCTCCTTCTTGACCTTCACACCATCAGCAAGTTCTATCTTTGCTGAGCTTGGACCCCCGGGCCGCATGGTTTGCTGCATATCTCGGCGGGTCAGGCGCCGGCGCTTGGCAACCCGCTTGGGCTCTGGCTCAGCTGCAGTTTGACTATTCGCAGCCCTGTTGCTCTTCTCAGTTTCCCTCTTCTGCGTTGCAACTTCAGAGTGGTCAGACTGGCTTTGCAAGCTTTCAAAAGCTTCACCGTGCTTGGGCTCTTCTTCCATCTCTTCTTTCATCATGATCTCCTTGCGGGTAAGATCATCCAAACTTGAGGACTTACAGGTTTGTTCTTGTTGTTCCTCTTGTTCTATCTCTTCCTTGATCTCGCCCTTCACCTGCAGAAAAAGATTAAACATCTTCATCTTCTCCTTATCTTGGCTTTCAAACTTGACTTCCTGCTCAGCACGTTTCTCCTTCTTGGCATCCGCACCATCAGCAAGTTCTATCTTTGCTGAGCTTGGACCCCCAGTCTGCATGGTTTGCTGCATATCTCGGCGGGTCAAGCGCTGGTGTTTGGCAGCAGATGATTCCTCGAATGATTCCATCATTCCTTGCTGTGGCGCGGTACGATTCAGGTTCCCAGGCCAACAGCTTTCGAGCGACGCCTGGGGTGCTTGGAAAATTGAGCCCCAAATGGCAGCATACAACGTGTTTAATCCCCATTGTTGTGTGGCAAATCCACATCATCCCCGTCAAGAAATCACGTGCGTTTGATTCTTGAATCATGTTAAATCCAATAAGACCTCCAAAACTACTAGGTCATATCCAATTTATATATGTGTACATATATATGTATATATATATATATATGTACACATGTAATATATTCTTCTAGTCACGGATTAACCTGTACTTAGACCAAAAAATCCCCCATCACCAGCTCCCACAGGATCTCCTTCACGATGCCCCGGCTTCCGCGGCGCCAGGGCAAGGCCCATGCCGCTTGCTGCGCGGCACCTCTGCACGCCACAGGGGGCGTGAAAAACGTGAAAAACGTGAAAAACGTGGCCTGGATCCCTCTGCTAAACTAACATAGCTATGCAGAATCATGGTGAATCAGCATGTTTTAACAGGTAAATCAGGGTAATTCATTTATAAATGGATGATGTTGTACAGCAATATTTAGTTTCCCAGGAAAGTATGGGTTTTACATGGTTTTAATGGATTTCTTGATCAACTGGATGGGATTTGTTGATGGCAATAATGGGGATCAACCAATCTATCTATATCTGCTGTATCTAAAGCATCCAAACATGTGGCATTGAACTGAGAAAAATCACGATACTGCGATGATCATTAGCAAAACATGATTTAGAAACTAAAAAAGGAAAGGTCTACGTGACCAAGCGACAAAAACGGGGAGAGTAAGCTGACAATACCTGGAGGCGAACCAACAAGAATTGACAGATAATGAATTGTGATAATAACCAAAAAATGGGGCTCTCCAACCAAAAGAAATGAGCCCACCCATCCAAAACTAGGCATGGCACCAACAACGGTGACACCGCTCCTTCCATCAGTTGAATTGTTCAGGAAATGTGGTGTCTCATCCAGCAAGAAGTTTTTTTAAACCACCAACCCAAACTAGGTTGTTTCAGATCTCTCACTAAAATCCGTCAACTCCCTGCCTCCCAGGTTGCAAGCGCCCTTCTCAGGGCTTCCCAGATGCTCTCCACAAACGTCACGCGCGCACAGATCTGCCATTGGGTGTGGAAAGGGAAGTGACTCGTGGTTTAAAACCGAGACCCACTGGGGTCATGCTTCACCTATGAAGGGGTCAGCATGTTTTTCCATTGAAAAAAGTTAGTTTCTGACCCACTCTAGCGGTGAATCATTCAATGTTGAAGCTACTTCTGTTGATGATCAGTGATGCCCCTTATGGTATCCAAGGTCCTTCATGTGGATATATGAATGGAGTCGTCTATAAATGGAAAATCTGATCGGGATATGGGATATGATATAGTGGTCTACGAGTTCAACTGGACAAAAACCAATTGGAAAAAATGGGGGATCGGCATGGGATGTGGGGGGAATGCTAAGAATAGAATGAAATTAATAAGGACGGTAATCTTGGGATATAAAATGAAGAATCAACTAAGCATTGATAGCATGCTTGTAGGCACAGCCCTCTGAGAGCCAGCAAAGTAAAAAAAAACACCAAATGATAGTTTCGAGATTTGTCATCAGAGGGATTCTTAAAATCTCCATCAACGATGTTACCACCCCCTTGTCTACTCGGGGCCCGCCACTGCACATGTGTTGGGAGATGATCAAGTGGATAGTCTAACGCTGAGAATTGTGAGAAATTCTAGGTGGCAATTTTCGATCAATCTGACGAATGCTGTTTTCTAATTGGGAATGGTCCAAGAATAGACTGCCAGAGAGATCGCTTCATTGGTATATATTTTTTGTGTGGAAGGGATCGAATGACATGCTTTGAAATTATATGAGCCATATACATACAGTAACTCCTCCCTTGCTCGACATTGACATCGACGCGCCGCCTCGTCTCAGGATCTTCTTCCACTCCCAAAATCTCATAGCCATCGATCAAGAAGTTGCCTCCCTCAGCAGGGAGTGGGGCCTCCAAACGACAGGTACGGTAACCTTGGTTTAGTTCACAAGGTTATCCTGTGGTAGATGGAAAATCCCCGAACTAAAATAGCAAATGGAGGTTTATAGCTTAGAAAATCAATTGCAAATGGGGTATGTTCAAGTGCCATGTTTGATTACCGTAGGGTAACTGGGATTTATAGTGGATGTATCATGACGTATCATGATGCGTCTATGGTCAATAGTGGTAGGTGAGATTATAGACAAACTTGTAGCTGGGGGAGCCTTCCCATGGTAACCCAATGTTTGGGGATGAAACCAGCAACCAATTCCGATTCTAAACCAATGGAAATTTGCCAACAAGAAGATGTCCTTTTTGTGGGTGGCTAGTTTTCCAAATCCAGGGGTTTCTTCCCTCAGCAAAACCATCAAATCACCAGGCACACCTCTCAGGCGCGCAGAGGAGTAAGAAGTTGTCTGGGAACCTGCAGCGATGGCTGGATGCGACTTCTCAAACGTCAATCTGGGTTGGTGAAGTCTCACAATAACGGACCACATATGAAACCAAGGTTTCAAGTTTCGTTTCGAAGGGTTTTTATATCAGGAAGGTAAGATTAGATATGGGTCAAGTGTTTAAGACCTTCAAAACAATTTGTCGCATGTTGGTATAAGCGCAATGATTTTTAAGTGCGGGAGCCCCAACTGGACGCCCGAAATTGGGAAACTCTGATGTAACCATCCCGAAATAGGTCAAGAATCTTGAGCCATACCGCCATATGTGTTGAATATATCTCCTATGACACTGCAGATGTTCTATGGATTCTCCCATTAAAAAGACATGTTCTACGGATTTGTTCATAGAAACCACCGTTTTTGGCGGATTCTTCTATCACAGGTCCCAGGACACCCACGATTTTCCCACCGTTGGGCCCAAGGAGCTCATCTCCATAGGCATTGCCATCAGGCCTTGAAGGTATCGTCCTGTGGCGGCCATCTGTACCATGGTCATGGAAAAAAAGGGTATGGTCATGTCACCATGATGGGGAATCCTTCTGATGACTGCATCAATCCCTACAAATGGATACAAATGGTAGTTGAATAAGCGGATTTCTCTGATTCAATCATCAATTTCAGTCTCGCTTTGGATACGTTCAGCATGATTTGTATATTTCCCTATCCATCCCTATCCCTATGCCTATTCCATCTCCGAACCGCAGGAATAGGACTTGAGCTCAAGTGTGCAAAACAGGATCTTCCCATTGTGATTGCAAATGAATGGATGGCAAGAAAATCACTCTTGATTTCTTCCTGCGCATCATGTGAAGTGAGGATTGACTGTACGGACGCCGCGTCGGAAACTGAGCCATGCAGCTTGGCATCTACGGCTTTTGCACTCACTTTCGCTGCTTCCTCCCAGGCTTCACCTTGGACTTCACAGCCTTCCCGCTCTTCTCCTTCTCCTTCTCCTGCTTCTTCTTCCATGCCACAGCCACTTGGAAGGAGCGCTCCAGCTCCGCCTCCGAGTGGTCCTTGGGCCTTACCCTGAAATTTCGGGTTGACCCGCCAACGGCGCAACATGCATGCCACTGCTGCTCAGGCTGGCGCCACTTCACCCCTGGGTACGGCACCTTCGGGTGGAACTCCGGCAGCTCCGACAGGGTGGCCACGGGCTTTACCTGGCGCTGCAGGCCGGCCTTCTCCTGGATCTCCAGGGCCTTGGCTTCGGCCGCCGCCTTCTCGGTGAAGAGGCCGCCTGAAATCCTCTTGCCGCCCCCTGGGCAAATACGGACCCGCCACTTTTGCACATTCTTCTCCCACTCCACCCCTGGCACTTCGCTGGTGAAGTTGGGGTCCTTCTGCTTGGGCTCGCTGAGGATGCCCTTCTCCACCAGCTCTGCACGGAAGGCCTTGGCGGCCTCGAGAGCTGCTGCGTCGGCCTGAGCCTCGGAGATGCCGGGGCCCATGAAGTGTTTCAGGGAAAACCGCGAATCTTTTTGCCTTTGGCATCTTGTTCGTAAAATTGAACGCACCAAGCTTGCATGGTGCCACCCCAGACAACATTCGGCACCCCACTTTGCTTTGCCACATTAATTCTCCGAAAACCAGCTGGTTTCTGCCCCTCGGCAAGTGGGGGAGGACACTCCGCAGCTGCAACTGCAGCTCGGGCTTCTTTGATCCTTTCGACTGAAAGTTTCACCTCCTCTTCTGCAACACCCACAGATTCGAAGACTTCCACGCCTTGCATGGCATGGCTGCCGCCTGAGGATGAGAGCCGTCGGAGACCGTTCTCATCAAAAGCCCAACCATGACCAGCCCAAACAGAAGTGGGCAGATCCCTCATCCAAGGCCACATCTTCATGCAATCCAGGCCGCGGACCTTGTAGTCCTGATGCTGGCAGCACGGAACAAGGGGTAGCCCTCTGGGAAAACGCAACGCCTCACCTGGTTGTGCTACATTCTAATCGTTCAATATTAAAGTGACAAAATGAAGATGAATCTCGGAAAATCTGGTGGTAAGACGAGTTGCGTTGTTAGTTGGCAACAATCCTCCTATGCACATCATGATGCATCACATCTCTGCAAACACATATTCAACGACAAATTGTGCAGTGTAGGGAGAGTCGGTCCTGCATGCTCAAGTCGCAATCTAGTGGGGGCTCTTGTGGCGACATGTTCCGGGGCGTCTGAGATGCCTCTGCCTGCAGGGAAGGGTTTGAAAAACATGTGGCACCAAGTGTTTGAAGTCCCCACCCCTCTCTCCCTCTCTCTCTCTCTCTCTCTCGACTTTTGTCTCAACCCTGTTTGATTTACAAGAAGCAAAGAAGCAAACATTTGAATCCAAAGCGTACAGTAGTAAGTGTGTATCAAAACAAAGTAAACCTATGTAAACCTCATACCATGCAGACAGGGCAGAAGTTCAGCAAACAACATCCCTCCTGACTCTGGAACATCTTGCTGTGCAAGCCCTGCTTTTCGTGAAAGCGCTGCAAGCACCGCAAGCCATGTCCAGTGAGACGCAGCAGGCATGCTGGCGCATCTGTTGGTGGCGGAGATGGTGTTCCACCTACCGAGCCCAAGAAGACGTTTGCAGGGCAACAAGGCCTGCATTCGCCAGGGGTTACCGCAGAGAGACTTGGTTCTAGATGAAATCTACCGGCTTTCACACCACCATGTCTCTGCTGCTCCAAAGCTTTAAACATCTTTAAACTGGGTTCATCCAACAGGCCTAGGCTGAAATTCAAATCGGGCAGAAGAAATCTAAACTGCAGGCTGCCAGTCAAACAAAGGCATTAACAAAGGCATTGCCGCGTTGCATAGTAGGGCTCGAATGGTTAAAAAATGATCCACAATTAGATATGAAACTATATTCTTGGGTCTCTGCCAAGCTGATCAGCTCAAGGATTGTTCGACTGAAGGGATCAGGATTTGACAGGCAGATCATTTCACTACCGACAGCCCCGGTTGGTTCTTGATGTTGAGACACGGCAACACGACAACACGGCCTGGTGGGACTCCAAGTCTTGGAACTCCGAAAAGCCAGGCACTGCTTCGCCCAGGTCGCTGCGTGGGAAGCGAATGCATCCAAGGAGCTCTCTTCGGGATTGGCCGAATCCTGGGCAGAAATGTGTAGTTGATTTGAGAAAGGCAAACTGCAGGGAAGAAAACATGAAATGCTACAACTGTCTCCCTTTTCATCAGTACTGCTATGCTTGTGTCAAAGAAAGTATGCAACGCCAAACATTTCAATTTTCTTTTGGATGCTGATTCTACCAGAGCAATCCAGACCAGACGCATTTCTCACCCAAAAAAGTCCTCGTCTGCTTTCGATGCACTTGGTTCCAGCTGTTGCTGGGTAGGTGTCTGCACTTGGCTGGTGCCTGACTCGCTTTCCGGTGGTTTTGGAGCATGTCCTGCGGCGGAGTTTGCAGCTGCAAATGGCAGCTTGACTTTCTTGTGAACCGTGAGCCAAAGATCATCCAGCTCCATCTTCTCTTTATCCTGTCTTTCAAAACTGACTTCCTGCTCAGCACTTTTCTCCTTCTTGACCTTCACATCATCAGCAAGTTCTATCTTTGCTGAGCTTGGACCCCGGGTCTGCATGGTTTGCTGCATATCTCGACGGGTCAGGCGCCGGCGCTTGGCAACCGGCTTGGGCTCTGGCTCACCTCCGTTTTGACTATTCGCAGCCTTGTTGCTCTTCTCAGCTTCCCTCTTCTGCGTTGCAACTTCAGAGTGGTCAGACTGGGTTTTTAAGCTTTCAAAAGCTTCATCGTGCTTGGGCTCTTCTTCCATCTTTTCTTTCATCATGATCTCCTTGCGGGTAAGATCATCCAAACTTGAGGCCTTACAGGCTTGTTCTTGTTGTTCCTCTTGTTCTATCTCTTCCTTGATCTCGCCCTTCACCTGCAGCCAAAGATTAAACATCTTCATCTTCTCCTTATCTTTGCTTTCAAACTTGACTTCCTGCTCAGCACGTTTCTCCTTCTTGGCATCCACACCATCAGCAAGTTCTATCTTTGCTGAGCTTGGACCCCCAGTCTGCATGGTTTGCTGCATATCTCGGCGGGTCAAGTGCTGGTGTTTGGCAGCAAATGATTTCTCAATTATTTGATCATTCCTTGCCGTGGTGTGGTACGATTCAGGTTCCCAGGCCAACAGCCTTTGAGCGACGCCTGGGGTGCTTGGAAAATTGAGCCCCAAATGGCAGCATACAACGTGTTTAATCCCCATTGTTGTGTGGCAAATCCACATCATCCCCGTCAAGAAATCACGTGCGTTTGACTCTTGAATCATCTTGAATCCAACAAGACCTCCAAGACTACTAGATCATATCCCTTCCAGTCACGGACTAACCTCTACTTAGACAAAAAAAAAAACATCACCAGCTCCCACGGGATCTCCTTCACGATGCCCCGGCTGCCGCGGCGCCAGGGCAAGGCCCATGCCGCTTGCTGCGCGGCACCTCTGCACGCCACAGGGGGCGTGAAAAACGTGAAAAACGTGACAAACGTGGCCTGGATCCCTCTGCTAAACTAACATCGCTATGCAGAATCATGGTGAATCAGCATAATTTCACAGGTAAATCATGGCAATTCATTTATAAATGGATGATGTTGTACAGCAATATTTGTTTCCCACGAAAGTTTGGGTTTTAACATGGTTTTGTTGGATTTATCCATCAACTTGCAACTTGATCGGATTTGTTGATGGCAATAATGGGAATCGACCAATCTATCTGCTGTATCTAAGGTATCCAAAAATGTGGCATTGAACTGAGAAAAATCAAGATAGTGCGATGTTCATTAGCAAAAAAGCAACAAAAATGGGAAGTGAACCGACAATACCTGGAGGCAAACCAGGGAGAATTGGAGATAGTTAATTATGATAATAACCAACAAAAAGTTGGATAATCCAACCAAAAGAAACGAGCACACCCATCCAAAAGTAGGCATGTCATCAACAATGGTGACACTGGAATTCCATCAATTGATTTGTTCAGGAAATGTGGTATCTCATCTACCAAGAATAGTGACTAGTGTGTCAAACCACCCAAACTAAGTTGTTTCGGATCTCCCGCTAAAGTCGGCTGAAAATTCACCCTTTTTTTGTCCGTCAACTCCCTGCCTCCCAGGTTGCAAGCGCCCTTCTCTGCAGGGCTTCCAGGATGCTCTCCACACACTTCACGCGCGCGCACAGATCTGCCATTGGGTGTGGAAAGAGAAGTGACTCGTGGTTTAAAACCGAGACCCACTGGGGTCATGCTTCACCTATGAAGGGGTCAGCATGTTTTTCCATGAAAAAAATATGTTTCTGAACCACTCTAGTCGTAAATCATTCAATGTTGAAGCTGCTTCTGTTGATGATTAGTGATGCCCCTTATGGTATCCAAGGCCCTTCATGTGAATATAATTAACATGCCATCAACTGGTATATAGTCTGTCTACGGGTTCAACTGGACAAAAACCAGTTGGAAAAAATGGGGGATCGGCATGGGATGCGGGGGGGAATGCTAAGAATAGAATGAAATTAATAAGAACGGTAATCTTGGGATATAACATGAAAAATCAACTAAGCACTACTAATGATCTTAAGCACATACGATTGGCAGTAATCAAATGATAGCATGCTTGTGGGTGAGCCCTCTGAGAGCCAGCAAAGTCAAAAAGTCCACTAAATGATAATACTTTAGAGTTCGAGATTTGTCATCAGAGGAATTCTTAATATCTCCATCAACGATGTTCCCACCCCCTTGTCTACTCGGGGCCCGCCACTGCACAGGTGTTGGGAGATGATCAAGTGGATAGTCTAACGGTGAGAATTGTGAGAAATTCTAGGTGACAATTTTCGATCAATCTGACGAATGTTTTTCTAATTGGGAATGGTCCACGAATAGACTGCCAGAGAGATCGGTTCTTTGGCATATGTTTTTCCACGGAAGGGATCAAATGAAATTATTCGAAATTGTTTGAGCCACATACATCCAGTATCTCCACCTTTTGTAAGATATCTCCCCATTTAAATCATTCCCCCCATCACTAGTGGCATTTGACCGATCCACACCGTGCCATCTTCCTCCCTTGCTCGGGATCGACGCGACGCCTCGTCTCGGGATCTTCTTCCAGCTGTCCCAAAATCTCGTAGCCATCGATCAAGAAGTTGCCTCCCTCAGCAGGAAGTGGGGCCTCCAAACGACAGGTAACGTGGGTTTACTTCACAAGTTTACCCTCTGGCAAGTGAAAAATCCCGAACTAAATGGAGGTTTATAGCTGGGAAAATCAATTGTAAATGGGGGATGTTCAAGTGCCATGTTTGATTACCGGAGGGTAACTGGGATTTATAGTGGATGTACCATGACGTATCATGATGCGTCTATGGTCAATGGTGGTAGGTGAGATTATGCACCAACTTGTAACTGCGGGGGCCTTCCAACAACAAACCAATGTTTGGTGATGAAACCAGCAACCAATTCCGATTATAAACCAATTGAAATTTGCCACCAACAAGAAGAAGATGTCCTTCTTGTGGGCGGCTAGTTTTCCAAATCCAGGGGTTTCTTCCCTCAGCAAAACCATCAAATCACCAGGCACACCTCGCAGGCGCGCAGAGGAGCAAGAAGTTGTCTGGGAACCTGCAGCGATGGCTGGATGCGAGTTCTCAAACGTCAATCCGGGTTGTTGAAGTCTCACAATAAGGGATCACGCATGAAACCAAGGTTTCAAGTTTCGTTTCGAAGGGTTTTAATATCAGGAAGATAAGATTAGATATGGGTCAAATTTATAAAACTCTCAAAATCAGAACGTCGTATCATTTTGTAGCATCTTGGTATTGACTCTCCTATTCTTGTAGGGGTACAGGATTGTTGTCCACACCTAAAATATCAAGTTTGGACCAATTCTGTTGGTGTTTTCCGTGGTGAATTTCCAGTGTGGGAGCCCCAACTGGACGCCTGAAATTGGGAAACTCTGCCCGATGGAACCATCCCGACAGGGTGTCAAGAATCTTGAGCCATACCGCCATATGTGTTGAATACATATCCTATGGCACTGCAGATGTTCGATTTTCCCATTAAAAAGACATGTTCTATGAATTTGTTCATAAAAACCACCGTTTTTGGCGGATTCTTCTATCACAGGTTCCAGAAAACCCGCAAGTTCCCCCACCGCAGGCTGGACCCAAGGAGCTCATCTCCATAGGCATTGCCACCAGGCCTTCAAGGTATCGTCCTGTGGCGGCCATCTGTACCATGGTCATGGAAAAAGGATGAAAAAAGGGGTATGGTCATGTCACCATGATGGGGAATTCTTCTCATCACTGTATTAATCCCTACAATGGATACAAATGGTGGTTGAATAACATAATTTCTCTGATTCAATCATCAATTTCAGCCTCACTTTGGATGCGTTCAGGATGATTTGTATATTTCCCTATCCAGCCCTATCAATCCCTGTCCATCCCTATCAATCCCTACGCCTATTCTATCCCCAAACCACAGGTTTCGGACTTGAGCTCAAGTGTGCAAACAGGATCTTCCCAGTGTGATTGCAAACGAACAAGTGGGAAGAAAGGCTCTCTTGTTTTTTTTTGCAAACATGTCAGGTGAGGATTGTCTGTACGGGACACAGCGTCAGAAACTGAGCCATGTATCTTGGCATCCGTGGCGTTTGCACTCACTTTCGCTGGTTTCTCCCAGGCTTCGCCTTGGACTTCGCAGCCTTGCTTTCTTTCTCCTTCTTCTGATTCTCCTTCTCCTGCTTCTTCTTCCACGCCACAGCGACTTGGAAAGAGCACTCCAGCTCCGCCTCCGAGTGGTCCTTGGGCCTGATGTAGAAATTTCGCTTGGCTCCCGCCACAAGGCATGCTGAATACCATTGCTGGGACCTCTGCTCCCAACTGACCCCAGGGTAGGGCACCTTGGGATGGAACACCGGCAGTCCGGCATATCTGTTTGCCAGGGTGGCCACGGGCTTTACCCGGCGCTGCAGGCCGGCCTTCTCCACGAGCTCCAAGGCCTTGGCCTCGGCCGCCGCCTTCTCGGTGAAGACGCCGCCATAGATCTTCTTCTGGTCAGACTTCAAATTGATCTCCACCTGCCACTTTTGGACCCTTTTGTGCCACTGCACCCCCGGCACTTCGCTGGTGAAGTTGGGGTCCTTCTGCCTGGGCTCGCTGAGGATGCCCTTCTCCACCAGCTCTGCATGGAAGGCCTTGGCGGCCTCGAGAGCTAGTGCGTCGGCCTGGGCCTCGGAGATGCCTGGGCCCATGAACTTCTTCACAGAGAAGACTCGGTTGGTCCAGCTGATCTTGTTTCCTTTGGAGTCACGTTTGGGGAACTTGACTTGCCAGGCCATCAGCATCCTGTCCCACTTGACATTGGGAATCCCGCTTTGCTTCGCAATGTTGTTTCTTGTGAATTTATTTGGCTTCTGCTCCCGGGGAGGTGATAGTGGATGCTCTGCAGCGGTCACTGCGATTGGGGCTTCTTCTTTGATCTTTTCGTCTGAAGGTTTCACCTGCTCTGCTGCAAGACCTACAGATTCGAAGACTTCCACGCCTTGCATAGCATGGCTGCCGCCTGAGGATGAGAGCCGCCGGAGACCGTTCTCATCAAAAGCCCAACCATGACCAGCCCAAACGGAAGTGGGCAGATCCCTCATCCAAGGCCACATCTTCATGCAATCCAGGCCGCGGACCTTGTAGTCCTGATGCTGGCAGCACGGAACAAAGCGTAGCCTCTGAGAACGCAACGCCTCACTCATCTGTGCTACATTCTAATCATTCCAGAGCACGATTTAAGTGGTAGAATGAAGTTGGATATCGGAAAATCTGGTGGTAACACGAGTTGCTTTGTTGGTCGGTAACAATCAGGAACAATCAGTAACAATCCTCCTACGCACACCATGATGCATCACATTTCTGCAAAAACCTTTCAACGACAAATTGTGCAGTGTAAGGAGAGTCGGTCCTGCATGCTCAAGTCGCTATCTATTGGGGGCTCTTGTGGCGACATGTCCCGGGGCGTCTGAGATGCCTCTGCCTGCAGGAAAGGGTCTGAAAAACATATGCGGCAACTGTTTGAAGTCACCTGCCTTCACTCTCGAGACTCTCAACTGTTGTCTCTTTGATTTACAAGAAACAAATATTTGAATCTGTAAACCACATACTATGCAGACACAGTGCAGAAGTTAAGCAAACAACATCCCTCCTGACTCTGGAAGGTCATGCTGTGCAAGCCCTGCTTTTCGTGAAAGCGCTGCAAGCACCGCAAGCCATGTCCAGTGAGACGCAGCACGCATGCTGGCGCATCTGGTGGTGGAGGAGATGGAGTTTCATTCGCCAAGCGCAAAAAGAAATTCGCAGGGCAACAAGGCCTGCATTCGTCCGTTGCTGCAAGGAGATAATTGGGTTCTAGATGAAATCTACCGTCTCTGCTCCTCTAAAGCTTGAAGCTGGATTCACCCAACAGGCCTAGGCTGAAATTTACAGCTGCCAGTCAAACAAAGGCATTGCCGCGTTGCATAGTAGGGATCGAATGGTTAGAATATGATCCACAGTTAGATATGAAACTATATTCTTGGGTCTCTTGCCAAGTTGATCAGCTCAAGGATTGTTCGACTGAAGGCATCAGGATTTGACAGGCAGATCATTTCACTACCGACAGTACCGACAGCCCCGGTTGGTTCTTGATGTTGAGACACGGCAACACGACAACACGGCCTGGTGGGACTCCAAGTCTTGGAACTCCGAAAAGCCAAGCACTGCTTCGCCCAGGTCGCTGCGTGTGAAGCGAATGCATCCAAGGAGCTCTCTTCGGGATTGGCCGAATCCTGGGCAGAAATGTAGTTGATTTAGGGAAGGCAAACTGAAGAGAAGAAAACATGAAACGCTACAGCTGTCTCTTCACCCTTTGCATCAGTACTGCCATGCTTGTGTCAAAGAAAGTATGACAACGCCAAATGTTCCAATTCCATTTTGGATGCTGATTCTGCCAGAGCAGTCCAAACGCATTTCTCATACCCAAAAACAGTCCTCGTCTGCTTTTGATCTTGAAGCATCTTCCATGCCAAATGCACTTGGTTCCAGCTGTTGCTGGGCAGACGTCTGCACTTGGTTAATGCCTGACTCGCTTTCCGGTGGTTTCAGAGCATTTTCTGCGGCGGCGTTTGCAGCTGGAAATGTCATCAATGACTGCTCATTGACTTTCTTGTGAACCTTGAGCCAAAGATCATCCAGCTCCATCTTCTCCTTATCTTGTCTTTTAAAACCAATTTCCTGCTCCGCATGTTTCTCCTTCTTGACCTTCACACCATCAGCAAGTTCTATCTTTACTGAGCTTGGACCCCCGGTTTGCATGCTTTGCTGCATATCTCGGCGGGTCAGGCGCCGGCGCTTGGCAACCGGCTTGGGCTCTGGCTCAGCTGCAGTTTGACTATTCGCAGCCTTGTTGCTCTTCTCAATGTCCCTCTTCTGCGTTGTAACTTCAGAGTGGTTGGACTGGCTTTGTAGGCTTTCAAAAGCTTCATCGTGCTTGGGATCTTCTTCCATCTCTTCTTTCATCATGATCTCCTTGCGGGTAAGATCATCCAAACTTGAGGACTTACAGGTTTGTTCTTGTTGTTCCTCTTGTTCTATCTCTTCCTTGATCTCGCCCTTCACCTGCAGCCAAAGATTATCCATCTTCATCTTCTCCTTATTTTGGCTTTCAAACTTGACTTCCTGCTCAGCACGTTTCTCCTTCTTGGCATCCGCACCATCAACAAGTTCAATCTTGGCTGAGCTTGGACCCCCAGTCTGCATGGTTTGCACCATGTGTTGGCGGGTCGAGCGCTGGTGTTTGGCAGCAAATGATTCCTCAAATGATTCAATCATTCCTTGCTGTGGCGTGGCACGATTCAGGTTCCCAGGCCAACAGCTTTTGAGCGACGCCTGGGGTGCTTGGAAAGTTGAGCCCCAAATGGCAGCATACAACGTGCTTGATCCCCATTGTTGTGTGGCGAATCCACATCATCCCCGTCAAGAAATCACGTGCGTTTGATTCTTAAATCGAACAAGACCTCCATAACTACTAGGTGAGTCATATCCCTTTTATAAATGTATATGTATTTATATATACGTATATATGTATATATATATATACATATATATATATGTGTGTGTGTGTTTGTGTGTGTGTGTTTGTGTGTGTGTAATATATCCTTCTAATAAACAAGTATTAATTAACTTGTACTTAGGCCAGAAAGAAAAAAAACACCATCTAATGATTACCCCATAGTTTCCCACTAATAATATATCATCCCAAATTTGCTGCTTGAATCATCTCCATCCCCAGCTGCCACGGGATCTCCTTCGCGATGCCCGCCGCCAGCTGCGAGGCGCTGCGGCAAGGCCCATGCCGCCTGCCGCGCGTGAAAAACGTAAAGTTTTCATAGGTAAATCATGGTAAATCATGTAAAAATGGATGATGTTGTACAGCAATATTTAGTTTCCCAGGAAAGTATGGGCTTTACATGGTTTTGATGGATTTATTGATCAACTGGACGGGACTTGTTGATGGCAATAATGGGGATCAACCAATCTATCTATTGTATCTGCTGTATCTAAAGTATCCAAACATGTGGCATTGAACTGAGAAAAATCACGATACTGCGATGTTCATTAGCAAAACATGATTTAGAAACTAAAAAAGAAAAGGTCTAAGTGACCAAGCGACAAAAATGGGGAGTAAGCTGACAATACCTGGAGGCGAACCAAGAAGAATTGGAGATAGTTAAGTATGATAATAACTTAATATAACTTAACTAAGAACCAGCAAAAAGTTGGATAATCCAACCAAAAGAAATGAGCCCATCCATCCAAAACTAGGCATGGCACCAACAACAGTTACACTGCTCCTTCCATCAGTTGATTTGTTCAAGAAATGTGGTATCTCATCTACCAAGAAGTTTTTTTTTAACCACCCACCCAAACTAGGTTGTTTCAAATGTTCCTTTAAAATCGGCTGAATTTTTACCCCTTTTTGTCCGTCAACTCCCTGCCTCCCAGGTTGCAAGCGCCCTTCTCAGGGCTTCCCAGATGCTCTCCACAAACGTCACGCGCGCACAGGTCTGCCATTGGGTGTGGAAAGGGAAGTGACTCGTGTTTTAAATCTGAGACCCACTGGGGTCATGCTTCACCTATGAAGGGGTCAGCATGTTTTTCCATTGAAAAAAGTGTTGTTTCAGACCCACTCTAGCGGTAAATCATTCAATGTTGGAGCTACTTCTGTTGATGATCAGTGATGCCCCTTATGGTATCCAAGGCCCTCCATGTGAATATAAGTAACATGCAATCATCGGTAAATGGAGAATCTAACGGGGATGCAATGTATTCTATGGGATATAGCGGTCTATTGAGCTCAACTGGACAAGACACAAATGGAAAAAAATTGGCTATCAGCATGGGATGCGTGAGGAATGCTAAGATTTTTTTTTATAATGGCAGCAATCTTGGGATATAAAACGAAGAATCAATTAAGAATTACTACTAATCACCTACAGTTAGGAGTAATCAAATGATAGCATGCTTGTAGGCACAGTCCTCTGAAAGCCGGCAAAGTCGAAAAGAACCACTGAGTGATAGTTTCGAAAATTATCACCAGAGGAATGCTTAAAATCTCCATCAACCATGTTTCAACCCATTGTCTACTGGGGGCCCGCCACTGCACCGGCATGCATAGATAAAAATGTCTGGAACTGGCAAAACATGACAAGTAAAAGGCATGATCAAGTGGCTAGTCTAAGGCTGCGAAGTATGAGAAGTTCTAGATGACAATTTCGATCAATCTGACGAGTGCTGTTTTTCTGATTGAGGATGGCTAAAGAATCAACTGCCAGAGAGATCGGTTCTTTGGCATATTTTTCCACAGAAGGGATCAAATGAAATTATTCGAATTTGTTTGAGCCACATACATCCAGTATCTCCACCTTTTGTAAGATATCTCCCCATTTACATCATTTCCCCATCACTACTGGCATTTGACCGATCCACACCGTGCCATCCTCCCTTGGCCTCGTCTCAGGGTCTTCTTCCAGCTGTCGCAAGATCTCATCACCATCGATCAAGAAGTTGCCTCCCTCAGCAGGGAGTGGGGCCTCCAAACGACAGGTACGGTAACCTTGGTTTAGTTCACAAGGCTACCCTCTGGTAAATGGAAAATCCCCGAACTAAATTAGTAAATGGAGGTTTATAGCTGAGAAAGTCAATTGTAAATGGGGTATGCTCAATTGCCAAGTTTGATTACCGGAGGGTAAGTGGGATTTATAGTGGATGTATCATGACGTATCATGATGCGTCTATGGTCAATTTGTGTAGGTGAGATAAGGAACCAACTTGTAACTGCGGGGGCATTCCAACAACAAATCAATGTTTGGGGATGAAACCAGCAACCAATGAGGATCATAAACCAATGGATTTTTGCCAACAAGAAGATGTCCTTCTTAGAAGGTGGCTGGTTTTCCAAATCCAGGGGTTTCTTCCCTCAGCAAAACCATCGAATCGCCAGGCACACCTCGCAGGCGCGCAGAGGAGTAAGAAGCTGTCTGGGAACCTGCAGTGATGGCTGGATGCGAGTTCTCAAATGTCAATCCAGGTTGCTGACGTATACCCTCTAGTATCATCAAACATGGCTGGCTGGGAAATCCCTTACAAATGGGTATTTAAATGGAGGCTTCCTAAAATGTGAGTAATTACCCCAAATCATCCAAAATTAGCAATTTGTGCACTAAAACCCATGGTTTTGGGGCTCCCCCATTTTAAGGAAACCCCCAAATGGGAGAATCATCTATTGATGGGGATTCTCCATTTCCACCCTTGATTACTAGAGGGTAATCCCTTGGCAGTTCCTTCCGCTCATGACAAATATGCACAATAAGAGATGACGGTTCATAAATAGATTCTGTACGAAGCCAGGGTTTCCATGGGGGGCATGTATAGAATACTCACAATAAGGGAAGTTGATGAGGTCTGCGATCCAGTGTGAAAACAGGGTTTCAACTTTCCTTTCGAGGGGGTTTAACATTAGGAACATGGGATTAGATATGGGTCAAGTTTTTAAGACTCTCAAAATCAGAATGTCGTATCATTTTGTAGCATCTTGGCATTGACTCTCCTGTTCTTGTAGGGGTACAAGTTATCCACACCTAAAATATCAAGTTTGGTCCAATTCGTTTGATGTTTTCCGTGGTGAATTCCAGTGTGGGAGCCCCAACTGGACGCCCGAAATTGGGAAACTCTGCCGGATGGAACCATCCCGAAATGGGTGTCAAAAACACTTGAGCCATACCGCCATATGTGTTGAATATATATATATATCCGATGGCACTGCAGATGTTCTATGGATTTTCCAATTCAAAAGACATGTTCCTCGGGATTTGTTCATAAAAACCACCGTTTTTGGGTGATTGTTCTATCTTCACAGGTCCCAGAAAACCCACGATTTCCTCCACTGCAGGCAGGACCCAAGGAGCTCATCTCCATAGGCATTGCCATCAGGCCTTGAAGGTATCGTCCTGTCCGTGGTCAAGCTACATTGAGAAAAAACGGGTGTGGTCATCTCACCATGATGGGGAATCCTTCTGATGACTGTACTAATCCCTACAAATGGTGGTTGAATAACCGTATTTCTCTGATTCAATCATCAATTTCAGCCTCACTTTGGATGCGTTCAGGATGATTTGTATATTTCCCTATCCAGCCCTATCAATCCCTGTCCATCCCTATCAATCCCTGTCCATCCCTATCCATCCCTATCCCTATGCCTATTCCATCTCCGAACCGCAGGAATAGGACTTGAGCTCAAGTGTGCAAAACAGGATCTTCCCATTGTGATTGCAAATGAATGGATGGGAAGAAAAGCACTCTTGATTTCTTCCTGCGCATCATGTGAAGTGAGGATTGACTGTACGGACGCAGCGTCGGAAACTGAGCCATGCGTCTTGGCATCCGTGTCTTTTGCACTCACTTTCGCTGCTTCCTCCTGGGCTTCACCTTGGACTTCACAGCCTTCCCTTCCTTCTCCTTCTCCTTCTCCTGCTTCTTCCTCCATGCCACAGCCACTTGGAAGGAGCGCTCCAGCTCCGCCTCCGAGTGGTCCTTGGGCCTCACCCTGAAATTTCGCTGAGCACCGCCAACATTGCAACATGCATGCCACTGCTGCTCTCCCTGGTTCCAATAAACCCCCGGGTGTGGCACCTTGGGGTGGAACACCGGCAGTCCGGCGTATCTGTTTGCCAGGGTGGCCACGGGCTTCACCCGGCGCTGCAGGCCGTGCTTCTCCGAGAGCTCCAAGGCCTTGGCCTCGGCCGCAGCCTTCTCGGTGAAGGAGCCGCCAGAAATGGTGCTCTGCCCTTTTTGTCGGATCAATACCTGCCACTTTCGCTGCAGCTTCTTCCACCTCACCCCCGGCACTTCGCTGGTGAAGTTGGGATCCTTCTGCTTGGGCTCGCTGAGGATGCCCTTCTCCACCAGCTCTGCATGGAAGGCCTTGGCGGCCTGGAGAGCTGCTGCGTCGGCCTGAGCCTCGGAGATGCCGGGGCCCATGAAGTGTTTCAGGGAAAACCGCCGACTTGTTCTGCGAATCTTTTTGCCTTTGGCATCTTGTTCATAAAAGCAAACGCACCAAGATTGCATGGTGTTCTTCCATCCAACATTCGGCACGCCGCTTTGCTTCGCCACATTGTTTCTCGTGAATTTATTTGGTTTCTGCTCCCCACAAGTTGGTAGTGGATTCTCTGCAGCGGCCACTGCGATTGGGGCTTCTTCTTCGATCTTTTCGTCTGAAGGTTTCACCTCCTCTGCTGCAAGACCTACAGATTCGAAGACTTCCACGCCTTCCATGGCATGGCTGCCGCCTGAGGATGAGAGCCGTCGGAGCCCGTTCTCATCAAAAGCCCAACCACGACCGGCCCAAACAGAAGTGGGCAGATCCCTCATCCAAGGCCACATCTTCATGCAATCCAGGCCGCGGACCTTGTAGTCCTGATGCTGGCAGCACAGAACAACGCGTAGCATTCTGGGAAAACGCAATGCCTCACCTGGTTGTGCTACATTCTAATCGTTCTAGATCAACATAACATTGAAGTGACAAAAATGAAGTTGAAGATCGGAAAATCTGGTGGTGGGACGAGTTGCTTTGTTGGTTGGGAACAATCCTCCTATGCACACCATGATGCATCACATCTCTGCAAAAACATATTCAACAACAAATTGTGCAGTGTAGGGAGAGTCGGTCCTGCATGCTCAAGTCGCAATCTAGTGGGGGCTCTTGTGGCAACATGTCCCGGGGCATCTGAGATGCCTCTGCCTGCAGGAAAGGGTCTGAAAAACATTTGCGGCAACTGTTTGAAGTCACCTTGAGAGAAGGCAGCTGTTATCTCAACCCTGTTTGATTTACAAGAAGCAACTAATTGAATCCAAAGCGTAGTAAGTGTGTATCAAAACAAAGTAAACCTCATACCATGCAGACAGCGCAGAAGTTCAGCAAACAACATCCCTCCTGACTCTGGAACGTCATGCTGTGCAAGCCCTGCTTTTCGTGAAAGCGCTGCAAGCACCGCAAGCCATGTCCAGTGAGACGCAGCACGCATGCTGGTGCATCTGCAGGTGGCGGAGATGGTGTTCCGTTCGCGGAGCCCAAGAAGACGTTTGCAGGGCAACAAGGCCTGCATTCGTCCGTGTTGCTGCGGGGAGACTTAGTTCTGGATGAAATCTACCCTCTTTCACACTACCAGTTCATCCAACAGGCCTAGGCTGAAATGCAGAAGAAATGTCTGTTGCAGGCTGCCAGTCAAACAAAAGGCATTGCCGGAGAGATCCAATGATTATATAATATATAGATAATCATGTTTGGGTCTTTTGCCGAATTGCTCAAGGATTGTTCTCATTGTCGGACTGAAGGGATCAGGATTTGACTGGCAAATCATTTCACTACCGACAGCCCTTGTTGGTTCTTGATGCTGTGGGCCCACTGTGTGCTGAGAATAAACTGTATCACGACAACACGGCCTGGTGGGACTCCAAGTCTTGGAACTCCGAAAAGCCAAGCACTGCTTCGCCCAGGTCGCTGCGTGTGAAGCGAATGAATCCAAGGAGCTCCCTTCGGAATTGGCCGAATCCTGGGCAGAAATGTGTAGCGGATTCAGGGAAGGCAAACTGCAGACAAGAGAACATGAAACGCTACAGTGGTCTCCCTTTGCATCAGCACTACTATGCTTGTGTTAAAGAAAGTATGCAACGCCAAACATTTCAATTTTCTTTTGGATGCTGATTCTACCAGAGCAATCCAGACGCGTTTCTCACCCAAAAAAGTCCTCGTCTGCTTTCGATGCATTTGGTTCCAGCTGTTGCTGGGTAGATGTCTGCACTTGGCTAGTGCCTGACTCGCTTTCCGGTGGTTTTGGAGCATGTCCTGCTGCGGAGTTTGCAGCTGCAAATGTCATCAACGACTGCTCATTGACTTTCTTGTGAACCTTGAGCCAAAGATCATCCAGCTCCATCTTCTCTTTATCCTGTCTTTCAAAACCGATTTCCTGCTCAGCACTTTTCTCCTTCTTGACCTTCACACCATCAGCAAGTTCTATCTTTGCTGAGCTTGGACCCCCCGGCCGCATGGTTTGCTGCATATCTCGGCGGGTCAGGCGCCGGCGCTTGGCAACCGGCTTGGGCTCTGGCTCAGCTGCAGCTTGACTATTCGCAGCCTTGTTGCTCTTCTCAATTTCCCTCTCCTGCGTTGCAACTTCAGAGTGGTCGGACTGGCTTTGCAAGCTTTCAAAAGCTTCATCGTGCTTGGGCTCTTCTTCCATCTCCTCTTTCATCATGATCTCCTCGGGGGTAAGATCATCCAAACTTGAGGACTTGCAGGCGTGTTCCTCTTGTTCCTCTTGTTCTATCTCTTCCTTGATCTCGCCCTTCACCCGCAGCCAAAAATCATCCAGCTCCATCTCTCCCTTATCTTGGCTTTCAAAACTGACTTCCTGCTCAGCACCTTTCTCCTTCTTGACCTTCACACCACCAGCAAGTTCTATCTTTACTGAGCTTGGACCCGCGGTCTGCATGTTTTGCTGCATATCTCGGCGGGTCAGGCGCCGGCGCTTGGCAACCGGCTTGGGCTCTGGCTCAGCTGCAGCTTGACTATTCGCAGCCTTGTTGCTCTTCTCAATTTCCCTCTCCTGCGTTGCAACTTCAGAGTGGTCGGACTGGCTTTGCAAGCTTTCAAAAGCTTCATCGTGCTTGGGCTCTTCTTCTATCTCCTCTTTCATCATGATCTCCTCGGGGGTAAGATCATCCAAACTTGAGGACTTGCAGGCGTGTTCCTCGTGTTCCTCTTGTTCTATCTCTTCCTTGATCTCGCCCTTCACCCGCAGCCAAAAATCATCCAGCTCCATCTCTCCCTTATCTTGGCTTTCAAAACTGACTTCCTGCTCAGCACCTCTCTCCTTCTTGACCTTCACACTACCAGCAAGTTCTATCTTTGCTGAGCTTGGACCCCCTGTCTGCATGGTTTGCACCATGTCTTGGCGGGTCAAGTGCTGGTGTTTGGCAGCAGATGATTCCTCAAGTGATTCCATCAGTTCTTGCCGTGGCGTGGTGCGATTCAGGTTCCCAGGCCAACAGCTTTTGATCGACGCCTGGGGTGCTTGGAAAATTGAGCCCCAAATGGCAGCATACAAAGTGCTCAATCCGCATTGTGTGGCTGATCCACATGCCCCCCCATGTCATTACCTTTGTTCACCTCTGTTTGATTCTTAAATCCCAACGAAACCTCATAGACTACTGCAAAAATATCCCACTTATACGCATGTTCTTTTCATATATTCTTTCTTCCAGTCATGAATTCACCGGCTGATCCCCATCCCCATCCCCCAGCAACGGGATCTCCTTCGAAGAGGCGCCGCGGCAAGGCGCGCAAGGCGCGCGCCGCCTCTTCGTGGCGTTGAAGCCCCGGAAAACCCGGCGTTTCCCGCGGAGTTCAACGGTGAAAAATGCGGTGTATGGGATCTATCCATGAAAAGGGTGAGTTCAACCAGCATTTAACCCTTAAAATGAGGGTGAAATCACCTTGAACATGGTGAGCTTAACTGAAAAAGTGCTACTTTCATGGATTCAAACGGAGAGATGTTACTCAATAGTTTGGAATTACCGACTAAAATGTCCATTTAACACTTCATATAGGATTCATGTAATCACAGGGAAGGAACTCATTGCCAAAACACTCGTTTCACCTTTTGGTTGGAGCGCCGAAAAAACATGGGAGTTCACCGATCCTAAACAGAAATTGCATAGATAATTGTGGTATATCTCATCTGCCAAGAATTGGCGTTTTTTACCACACAAAATGGATTGGTTCAAACCACCAAAATCGGCTGAAAATTCACCACTTTTTGTCCATCAAATTCCTGCCTCGGATGCTCTCCACAGACATCACGCGCGGGCAGAGGTCCGCCATTGGGGACAATTCGTAGTTTAAAGTTTAAACCGAGGGGCCCACTGGGGTCATGCTTCACCTATAAAGGGGTCATGGATTTATCCCAGTAGATCAATGTTGAAGCTACTTTTGTTGATAATCAGTGATACCGTTACCCCTTCTGTGGCGAGTTTTGACATGTTTTCAACCAATTCTTTGAGGATCCAGGACCGTAGAGAAAGAGTCCTTTTCTCTTGACAGCTTCCCTGCCAGGCATGGAATTTCAAACATTCTCAACCCATGACCCTTGAGTCAATGGCATCTTAAGTGAGCCCCATGACCCGTCTCTGGATGATTGGCCAGTCGTGCTGATGGCATCTCTGCAGATTGCGCTCTACCACTTGAGTCAGAGAGGGAGCTGGGAGACTCATTGGACATCGCATGTCACCAGTTTTGACCGACTTCTAACTCAAATTCTTTCCTGACATTTAAAAAACTATCTACACATTGAAATCCCTTGTGCCAGCCACACAAACACACTCAGAAAAGCTGCCACCGGCAACGCAACGCAGCGCACTGGAACCGCCGGGTCTCCGGGCCCGGTCCACCGTGGGCAAGCTGCGCAGTGCACTGCGCTGCGACCTGGTGGCACGGGCGGTGCTTTCGTTGATGTTAGTGCTGCTAATATATTGAAAGTGGATGAAAATTGAGTTTGTTTTTTATAGATATGTAAGTACATTATATAGATATCTAAATATGTATGTCATAAATCTGTAGACAGAGATATGGATGAACCGTTCATAAACCACCATCATATCAGATATAGAACATGCATGAAAATGGTGGAAATGATATAGACACGAGATCTTGATGTCGGGAGAAAATCGGTAAACTATGATATTTCATGAACACTCCCACCATAGAAATGGAAAACCCGGTAGTTTCCAGTAGAAACGATCTATAGCTGGTGGATTCTTCATATCTATGTCAAGTTGCCGTAGGTCATCCGTTGATCTTGGAACATTCTTTTTGGACGGCCGAACGTCCAAAAAAGACGTATGCCCGAATAAATGTCAATCTTAATAAGAAAAATGATTCTACATCATCAAAATACCTTATTTTCACACAAGACCATTCATATGCTATCCAAATCACTCACTGGTGATTTAACATAGCTATGGAAAATTCCAAATTTAAATAAGTAAATATAGGTAAACCATCCATAAAGGGATCGTGTTATCCATAAATGGACCATTTTCCATAGCTATGTTAAATTACCAGAGGGTACAACTCATGGTTCCACCATCGTTGAGAAAGGCCGCCACGGCTGCTTCCACGTCTCGCACATCTCGCAACGACTAAACCAGCCCACCTTCGGCCCCGCGCACCAACTGCCAGACCTGGTGCCGCGTTTACGAGGGGAAGAGATGGGATAATCATGGGATAATCATGGGGTAATGGGGATTAACCAAGATATTTCATGGGATATCACTCATCAACAATAACCTGAGGTAACCTGGCAAATTCTTGAAGGGGATATTGCAGATGGGCATATCAGCAGCAGCTCCTTCCTCCACAAGAAAGGCTTGATTACCCTGGGGTAAACTAACCGAGATGTGGAAAATCCATGAAAATCCGCCATGTGCAGATAATTTTCCCAGTAAAAACGGTGGGTTTTCCACATCTTGTTGTTAGTTTACCCTACCCTACCTATAGGGTATCAGGTAGCTACGAGGGGACTAGACCCCAAGATACTTGGAGGTACCAGCGAAAGAGTGGGCAGGAAAGTTTGAACCACAGGGACAGAACCAGGTGGGCAATTTCACCTAGCAGAATAGATTATTCGTTCATCAAGAAATGCAGAAATTGGAATGTTGTCAAATATCAATATTTATGATATTCAAATCCACCAGGTGGGACAATTTTCACTGAAAGAAGTGGATACAGTAACTCACCTGGCAATATGTGTTTTTCTTTCATCAAGAAACACGGAAATTGGAATGTTATTAATCAATGTTTGCGATATTCAAATCCACCAATATATATATATAGCAACAACGCTCAGTGCCAACACTGCAAATCTGTCTGTGCCCTCAATCCTTGGCTTTCCTCACTTAAAATGAGGTCCGTTCGGCCAAACAAAGAGGCCAGTTTGGCCATACTGATATATACCAGTTATATATCGTCATTTACATATAAACACACACATTAAACCCATCTATACATCAACCAGCAAAAAATTGGGACATCACTCAGTCACTCCCAAACTCCCCATACGTCTACGTCGTAAATGATGGCGCCTGCAAAACTCGCGGCTGCCGCAGCCGCGTTCGCCTGGGAGGCGGTAAATGGAGTGCCACCATCATCGGCAAAACAGGTCCCCTGGATTGGGTTTGCCACAGTAATCATGGTGTATGACCCATCTATCTACATGAACTATTGGGCTATATGTAGATTGATTGGTTATCAACAAACCATGGTAGTTGACCGGCTACTAATATCAACCATTGATTGGTTATCTACAAACAACATTAGACATATAGCCAGCAAACTGGAAAATCACCACTTTTTATAGCTGGATATAACCATAAATGGCCATTTTCCATAGCTATACATTAAATTACCGTAACTGATGGATATCAGCCATTCATCTGGGTCATTGAGGAATCCGATGCCTGGCTGCCTGGGCCCCAAGAAATCACCAGATGCCTCCCATGCAGGCCATCCATGTCTGGAAGTCCGTCCGGCGGCACGAAAAGCGCTGCCTATGCCCAGAGATTTGATGGCACAGGTCAAAATCCAAAAATGTGGGGATGAGGTTTCCCACGACTTCAGGCCAAACATGCAGAAATCCTTGATGACTTACTGGTGCCAAGTCCGTAGGGTTGCTGGATGGGTTGGGGGTTGCTGGGATGAAAAAAATGATAGTTAGCCAGTGGATCATTCCCGAAAATTCCCTGCGAATTAAGCACCAGTAAGTTTACCATTATTAACCATCATTAACCATTATTAACCATTATTGACCATGGAAATCCCTATATTTACCCATGGATTTACCATTTATTCCGTGGAATACCTTGAATTCCAGAAAATCATGCAGGATTCCATGGATCCCATGGATCAATACCTGGGACCGCACATGCTCCGCGCCTCCGATCACGTTTCTCAGCGTCTGTGTGGGTGCCGCGGTGGCCGGGCCAACAAATGCAACTGCGCCGAAGAGAGGCGCAGGGTGGGCGAAAAACTGCTCATTTTACATGATTTTACCAGGTGGGTGCCCTGAAAATGGGAGATGCTGCCAAAATCCATCAAAATCCAAGATACTTTCAACCATTAAACACAAGGGTTTCCTGCATTTTTTTCCCATCATCCACAGCAAATGGTGGTTGAATCGCCCTTCGGTCGCCATTCGCCGTCCCGTCCTGAAGACATGTCAGCCATGTCGAGGAGTGGAAAAAAAACCTCAGGAAAGCGTGGAAAGTCCAAGAGGTAAGAGAAAATCTGAAGAAAAAAAATGATGGGGGCTAGATCCAGGTTAACATCTCTATCTCTATATTCGTATCTTGTGTCAATATGTGTCTATGGCTGTAGAACATTGGTGCATGGGAAATGAAAGGTTCGTTGAGACCTTTGCCAGTCAGGAAAGTCCTTTCCTATTGATGCCCTGAAAATGGCTGACATGTTTCATATGGAGGGCTCATGATGGAAACCATTAAACATCAATATTGAGGTGTCCTAAAAATAGGGGTACCCCCAAATCATCCATATTAGATCATTTATGATGAATTGGGAATCCCCCAGTTTAAGAAACCCCATATACTGCTAATGCCAACAAAGTTTCTATTGCTGGAAGGTGGACAACGTCAAGCCACCCACACTCACCCCTCAGGCTTGCACCAAAAGTTAAAGCTTTCTGCACCGTCCGAGATCCGAGATTGAGCCAAGAATTTGGGGTACGGATAGTCGGATCATGCGGCTTGTGTCCGAAAAATCCTCGAACTAAATGATCATGGTTCATCGGATATAACTTTCCAACAATATCTTTTTGGTTGTGTCTGAACATAGAACTAAAACATCCCCCAAGTATGGCCACCTACATGAGGAAAGCGATGATCCGCGGAGGTTCTCATCCAAATTCTAATGGGGAGTTCTTTGAATGCTCCCTCGAAGCGGTTCTGGGAGTCACGTCAACCCATCTTTAAACAAATCTTGAAAATCATCTTGAGGTATATAGCCTTTGGAGAATTTCCTTTACCCTCTGGTAATTTAACATAGCTATTGAAAATGGCCATTTATAGTGGATTTACCCATTAAAAATGGTGATTTTCCATAGTTATGTTAGTTTACCAGAGGGTAACATGATTCAAAAACATTTTGAGGCAACCTTTGGAGACGTTTCATCAAATTTCTGGAAGCTTCAACCAAGTACCGGCCAAGCCGGCTACACATTCTTTTTCCCACCAGCGGCGACCATTCCAACAATAGCCACAGCCACTGTGGATAGGCTGAGCAAAGCAGAACTCGATGCTATCGTTGCAAAACAATTATAAAGCCAGGAAAAAAGGGGATACCCTCTGGTAAACTTTCACATAACTATGGAAAATCACCATCTTTAATAGGTAAATCAACTATTTCTATGGGCCATTTTCGATAGCAAACTATTACAAATTACCAGAGGGTAGCCATATGTTTCTGGTGAACATCCACATCGTGCTTGAGGATTTTTCCGGTCTTTGTTGGAGAAATCCATGTGGTTTATCTTTCATAGATCATAGTCATTTCCCATAAATCACCATAGTAAAACCATATATTTCCCAGGAATATTCCCATTAAAACCATAGTAAAACCATAAAATTCCCATGAAAAAACCTCCATCTTTGCTGGTTGTTGATGAAATTCCCGTTGGGTTTGCATACCATGGATCTTGTGATTCGATCCCGATCGGACATTGGAGATCTATCTTACACCGTTTTGGCGCTTAGCCAAATGTAGAAACAAAAACAGCAGGATTTGCTGTTACAGAAATGTGTTGTTTTTGTTTCTACGTGTTATAAGTTTGTAAATTTAGAAAATGTTGATTTACCCACTTATAATATTTTTTTTACCATAATGTGTTGTTTTTAGCAACAATTACTATTACAAAAATGGTACATCAATGTGAATCATGATATTTCACCATCATTTGCCCACTGAAATTACCATAGATCTTATAGCTTGGTATAGACTTGTGCGTACCCTCTGGTTAGTTAATATGTATAGTATGGCTATGGAGAATTCAGAATGGCCCATTATAGGCAATAAACCATAGGAAAACCATAGGAAAATGGTGGTTTAATGGGATTTAATGGGATATACCCTCTGGTTATGACTAACAGTTTGCCATGGTATAGATGACCCATAGAAATAGATGATTTGCCGTTCTTAAAATGGTGATTTTCTATGGCGAAGCCCTAAATAACCAGACAGATCCAGACAGTATCTGTGTGATAGCCACACTGCTTCTTTGGTCAGCTCAGTGCTTCAGCCCTCAGCCCATCCTGCTTCAGACACATTAGACCACTGCGGCGACACGGCCGCGTCTCGTAGGCGTTTTGAGCGAACGCCCAGCGCTTCGCACGAACGGAACAGCCAACATCAAACGATGAGTACTGGGGGGTGCAGTGGGGCTTATTTTCATCGGTATAACATGGTATATAACCGTAGAACAATGGTGATAACTTGATAATCTCCATAAGTTGAGATAGATCCCCATAACTATGGTTCTACATCCACTTATGACCCCAAGTTTCACAACAAATGGAGTAAGCAACAAGAATTGGTAGTTCACCTGAATGAGTAACTGACATACACATTTGGGGGATACCATAAATGTAACCCCTTTGTTTTGGCCCGTGAATTTACCACATTTGGGTTCAGAAAGACATCACTCTCATTACTCTCTCAACTCTAAACGCCGGCGGCGTTGACCATAGTTGGGCAAACGGCAATTCATCCGGCAAGCCATGAAACCACGATGCTAGGCGAGTTGTTTTCTTTAGCCCTCCATGTCGAAAGTTGACCCTCCCATAACGAACTGGAAAATCACCACGTTTAATGGGTAAATCAACTATAAATGGCAATTTTCAATGGCAAACTGAGGTTACAGGTTACAGTACTTCTTGAAGAGGCGTGCGGTCGCTGGCCTTCCAAATATTTCGGCCCCCTTCCGGCGGAGTAATCCTCTCTTGCCGGTCCTCAAAAAGTGGCCTCTATGCATCCGTCTGCAAGGAACTTGTCACGTCGCTGTGTCCAGATATCTGGGATCCTCTGAACTTCATGGGGCTCCAGTTCGGAATCGCTAAGTTGGTGAACATAACTATAATAACAAGTTGGTGTATGATACGCAAACAACTATATTTAGACGGGGTTTTCTCAACCAACAAACATAACCTTTGGGGGCCCCATCCTGTAATGAGTGAAACTAAGCGGCTCACAATTGTTGCAAATCACTCATGTCCTCTAAGTGCACTGATCAAATTCTATGCTTTCGAGCTGGATTCTTCCAAATGACAAAGACACATGGGATTGTCTGAAAATATCCCCACTTCCAATGGATGATCATCATCTGGTTGGTGGTTTCAACCTACCCCTCTGAAAAATGATGGAGTGAAAGTCAGATTGGATCATCATCCCAACTATTGGGGAAAATAAAAAAATGTTCCAAACCACCAACCAGTCATTCATGTTCCTTATTTTTCAATGGCCGTTTTTGGAGTTAGCCCCTATTTTCTGCACCACATCTCACTCCAGACGGATGCCTCGGACCACCACTATCTACTCCTTCTGCGGCTGCTAGTCTTGCAATCTTTCCACAGATTTCAGACTGGATTCACTTCCAAAAAAAAGCAGCGGATGAAGAAAAACATGTCTCATCTCCGGATTTACCACTATCCTTCCCTCCAACACATCAAAATGCGACTGTTTAGACTCAACAGTGCTGAAAATAATTACTCCACCGACCAATTGACAGTACAAAAGAACAGATAATCTTAGATTAAAATTGCATGTGTTTATTTCATCATAACTTATGAAAGACTTCGTAAATTATCACCAAAAAAAAATCACCATGAATTCCTCGTTCTACATACCCTCTGGTAAACTTTCACATAACTATGGAAAATCCACCCATTTTATGGCTGGGTAAATCCACTATTTCGACGGGGCCACTTTCAATAGCAAACTGTTACAAATTACCAGGTTGGGTATATCCTATTAAATCCCATGAAATCCCATTAAACCACCAATTTCCTATGGATTTCCTATGGTTTTCCTATGGTTTTACCAGGACATAGCCATTTTTTCCTTAAGATCCAATGCTGAAAAACACCTCTCCCCACGCCTCAACGCCTATCCACGCAACTCAAACGCCTCAAGCCTGGGGAGGTTTGCCCCAGGCCTCAACCACCAGCGTACATCCCTCGAACTCACTGCCTTGGCGCCGCCATGGGCCAATGGGAAGGGGGTATGTACCCTTTTTCATAGGAAAACCATAGGAAAACCATAGGAAAATGGTGGTTTAATGGGATTTAATGGGATTTAATAGGAGATACCCTCTGGTAAACATACAAAAAGCTATTGAAAATGGCCATTGAAATAGTGGATTGACCCATCAAAAACAGTGATTTTCCATAGCTATGTAAACGTTTACCAAAAGGTAAATAAAAAAAACATGTCAAAGCAAGTGAAGCAAAAGAAACCAACAATTGGTATCTAGATGGCCTGGGATGTGTTTGGAATTTGGGGACACAAAAATAGATCGTCAGTTGTCTAGGGATCATCAACAAGTGGCACGTAAACACTAGGTAATAATCTTTAAATGGAATCTATAATGACGACCAAGAACGGGGATGCAAGCGCTCATACTCTGTTGGCTGACATGTTTTCTTGACTTTGGTGATAAACCCGCTAGAAATGGAAGTGTGTGAACCGCAGCCAAAACAAAAAGAAACATGGATCGTCTTCGATACTGTGCAAAAACACAAATTCAAAGAAAAAAGGTATCATCAGCTAGGTATATTCCCCATTTCTGATGATACTGGGTATCTCAGTATTAACATGATATCATTAACAGCTGGGTATTCAGTATATTCATGTATATTCTATCAACATGCTGGGTATCATGAATTCTCCATACTGAGTACCATCTGGTTATTTAACCTAACAGTTTGCCATGGAAAATCACCATTGTTAAGTGCAGTAAAGCATCCATTTTTATGGGCCATCTATACCATGGCTATGTAACAAATAACCAGAGGGTATATCCCATTAAATCCCATTAAATCCCATTAAACCACCATTTTCCTATGGTTTTCCTATGGTTTTCCCATTGTTTTCCCATGGTTTTCCTATGGTTTTCCCTCCGTGTTTGACAAAAGATGAATCTACTCAGCACCCGTTGCAATCTCAGCCGAGACACCATTCAGCAATGCGCAGGCGTTTTGAACCTGGGTCAACCAAAAGGACCAAGTCCTGATTTTTCGAGGAGATCATCCCTATTAATTACCATTAATGACTACATTAAGTGGTTATTAATTGGTATGATAGGGTTATATAGTATCGGGATATATAATGGAATCTCAAAATTGGACCAAGAAACGTGTTCCTGAAGCAATATGTTTGTAGTTGGATCTTATCTCTGATGAACGTGTTTGCTGCATGGTTGGTCTGGTTGAACCATCGCGATCATAGTGAGCTCATCTTCATTGTGGTTATATAATCATACCATATCATACCCCCAAGTGTGGTCGGGCAAACCATCCGATGATCTCCTAAAGATTCGAGAAAAATCTCCCTTGATCCATTTTGGAAGGGACTCAACGAAAACGATTCCCCAGATCATTTTGGTACCTTTGGTACCTTCCCCCTTTCAAACAACGTCACCAACAACGGGCCCGGCCGTCGCGGCTATCCCATCCGAGGGACTTCTTCTCGCGTCCTGAAGGCAGCGCCACCTTTCTGTCCTCGACCCACCTCCGCGTAGAGACAGGCGCCGGCTTTGTTCATGTGCTCCTTGAGGCGCTTGTTCAGCTCCTCAGGGGCGGGTTGAACAAAAAAAAAACGTGGCGAAGTAAGGGGCCACGGGTCAGATATGATTGGAAGGGGATAGGTATATCATGATGAAATATATCCATTTTTTTTATCATATCTGACCATGAAATATATTCCTTTGATATCCCCTACCTTTTATGAACCATTAAAATTTGGGGATATCAAAGGAAGATAGATTAGGATGGACTTGACCGACTGATAGGGATAGCTTAGAGGGATGAAGAAGAAATAACTGGGAAATCACCATCAGTATATATATATATATATACATATTACATATATATATATATACATACATACATATTTGGATATATTGTTTTTCTAATATCCCCATTATATCCCCAGTGCTTTGCAAGGAAATATGATAAACAAATACCAATCACCCGCCACGTTCTAACCATGACTTCATGATTCATCATCCAAGTCGTGGCCAACAAAGAAATGCGACCAGAAATCAGATAATCATGTCAGGTTTAGTGGCCTTTTAGATCTTTTAGAAAATAAACTGTGGGCACCAAGGCACTACATCTGGAGCAGTGGTCAATGGCAAGCCGCCGATGTACACCTTCTTGTCCTCATTGCACGTGGGATCTGATGGGGATACGACTGGGGTATGGTGGAGATACGACTGGGGGTATGGTGGAGAACTGATCAGAGATCCCTATCCGGAGATTCGAGGGTCAAACATCATCAGGATCAAAAATTCATCAGCCAGGCCGTTGTCCGAGACCGGCTTCTTATTGGAAGTCAAGCGGTCAGTAATGCGGGCCTTGCCCCAATGCAACGAGATGTCCTACAGGCAACTGTGAGGTCCTAGAGAGTGATTTCAGCTACTTCTGGCAGAAAACAGCAAAAATAATGAGCTGCTTGTACACCTTTTTTGATCCCCCAAGAAAGATTCGTCAACCCGGCAGTACTCAAATTTGGCAACAGAAAATCACGCATTTCTACATGAAATTCCCAGCTGTAAACCTCCATTTATAGGGGATGTCATCATGTCTTCCAATGTGTTTCCCATTGTTTTTTCCCATTTACATTGGAATTTCTATGTTATTTCCATGGTAGTTCTCAGTTTCCCATTGTTTGTTTTTCCCATTCAAATTGGTATTGCCAGGCTATTTCCATGGTATTTCTCTAGCCACCGTTTTTCCCCTTCCCAAGTCTTCGTCAAGTGACATTGGCAAAGGTGATGAGACCAGCCTTTCCGGCACCTTTGCCGTAGGGGCCTCCCATCATCATCCTGACATGGCTATGTCAATGGATTTGACCGATTTAACCATCAGAGATTTTGATTTAACCAAAATGAAGAAATGGAAATTGACATACCCTCTGGTAAATTAACAGTTGGACCCTGAAAATGACCAATTTATAGTGGAAACTAGTCTTCCAACCCCGATGAATGGCAGGGTCTATGTTAATTTACTGGAGGGTAACTTAATTTCAACAAAGTGTATGTCATTTAAATGGACAATGGGTTGCCTGTCTGGATCCACAAATGCCTGGTGATAGAATCTGAAATCAGCCGTTTTTCGGGTATGTTTTCTACTTTTGAGCATTCCCAAGCACTGGGAAACTGGTTCAAATGTTTTAAATGAAGCTGGTGGTTTCGCGGATAAAAATATGTGTTGATGCTCAATGAACCAAGCATTCACCTTGCCTTTTTGGGGGTCTAAATCCTTCACACCTCAGTTTTCTGTGGTAAATCCGAAACCATTTGACCCCACTTGGATTATGGTTTATCAAGTCATTCTCTGTTGGTTCAATCTTATAGTGGGTATATGGTATGGTATGGTGTAGGATTTTTGGGTTAACCTCCTTTACCACATTACCAACAACATCCAAATTGTAGTGCCTATATCGAAAAATGCGTCTTAATGGACCATGGCGTCCATAGCTATGAATTTCCATAAGGTATCCTTTGAAGTGCCAATTTTGCGGTTTTTATGACCTTTAGGTCTGTGCCTTTCACCTTTCAGCCGAGCAGCTGCATCATCATGGGGCCCATCATGCTCCACATGTCTTTGCCATAGCCTTTGCCCCCACCTTTGCCGCCCCAGCCTGGGATGGTCACACACGAAGTCATCGGTGAGGGTGGCTTGGAAAGACTTGGGGGTCATGAAAACTGGATCAGCTGTTTCTTAAAGGCGTAAAAAATTACCACCACCAATTTCCAAAACCACGATTTTTGAATTTCAACCATCTATTGCTGGTCGAAGGAAGTTTAGAAGTGAAACTTCCGACAATATGGACAGTTGAAAAGCAGAGGTGAGAAGAGTCAGAAGAGAAAAGATCAGAAGAAAGAAGATGCAGGTGCGCGAAAAGGTAGGAAAGTCGCGAAACACTGTGTTTTTCCAATGATTTGGGGCTCCGGAGGGTCGAAAAGTAGGCTCGCTAAAGCGGCGGGTGCGGAGCCAGCTGGCAGATGAGAGATGAAAAATTGCACGGCGTTGTGGCGCGAAGCACATTTCCAAGTCAAAATGTACAAAACACACCATGGTCGGACCACTTTTGGAAGTTGAGATGTCGAAAAAGTGCACGCCGTTGTGGCGCGAAGCACATTTTCAAGTCAAAATGTACAAAACACACCATGGTCGGACCACTTTTGGAAGTTGAGATGTCGAAAAAGTGCACGCCGTTGTGGCGCGAAGCACATTTCCAAGTCAAAATGTACAAAACACCTCAGTGTCGGACGACTTTTGGAAGTTGAGATGTCGAAAAAGTGCACGCCGTTGTGGCGCGAAGCACATTTCGAAATCAAAAGTGTAAAAAACTGCGGGTTTTGAGCCTTTTTTGACGTGAAGATGTCGAAAAAGTAGACACTGATTAACTTAACTAACTTGACTAACTTAACTAACTTAACTACCCTAACTCCGACGACAACAGCAACAGCAACAACAACAACAACAACACCAACCACAACAGCTACAACTACAACAACTACAACTACAACAACTACAACTACAACAACTAAACAACAACTACAACAACTACAACAACTACAACAACAACAACAACTAGCAACAACAACAACAACTACTACTACTACTACACTACACAACCACTACAACCACTACAACCACGCAACAACTACAGCTACAACTACAACAACAACAACAACAACAACAACAACACTACAACTACAACTACTACAACTACAACTACAACTACAACTACAACTACTACAACTACAACTACTACAGCTACAGCTACAACTATATGACTGCAACTACACTACACTAATTACATTACACCACAACTACAACTCCACTACGCTACAACTACAACTACAGTTGCAGTACATCACACTACATCCAGCAGTTGTGGGTGAGGTGACCACTGCAACCATTGCAACCATTCCAGCAAACACAACTCCAACCACCTTTCGGTCAATCAGTAGATTCGCTCTGCCATCCGTGATTCACAACAACCAAGGTCTCCTATAGGTTTCCTATTTTTGAAACTTCCGCCACCGCCTTGTGCGGTACTACTGGTATGTTTATTCATGTTTGATAAGCATCTTCTTATATAACCTTATCAATAATTGATGGTTTTCAAAGATGATTTTTATTGCTAACTTATTGGTTATATAACCATCTATTACTGGTTATTGAATGTATAGCTAACCAGTAATTATTGGTTAAATAACCAATATTAACATCTATTACAAGTTATAAGTTATAACCACTAATAAGTAATGCTAGTTTATTCTGGTTTTCACTAGCTTTCGCTGGGTGAATTCCCCATCACCAAACAGCACCGGAAAAATGGCGCCGCGGTGCTCCCTTCGTCGTAGCCTTTGCCACCGCCGAATCCTGTGGTGCCTTTGCCGCCCCAAGAACCTCGACGTGGGCGATAGGCCAACCATTTTGGGGAATTCAAGTGAGGTTTACCCTCAGCCATTTTGGCGGAAGCCAAGAAAAGTGGCTTGGTTTCAGAAGTAAAAATGGTGACTTGACCAAGAAATGATGGATGACCTGGAAGTTGGAATACTCTGAACCAACTGAAATGGATACGTTACACACACAAATGAGGGAATTAGACCGCCAAAGGTGGGGATGAAACCAATAAACATGGTGGGTCAAGCCACGTAGTGGCCCGCACAAACGAAAACAAAGATTCAACAACAGCAAAAAAGGGGATCTAACCAATAACTAAGGAGATTGTCACCGGGTTGTTTCATCTGTAGTCATGGGTCTCTATACGATGGGATGGGAACTTGCGATCGTCACTTCTATCCTTCAACCATCTAATTGTCTGAGGGCATCCTCCAGCATAGCAACATAGATCGATGCATGGAGGATCTCCGGGACAATGGTTGATAAATAGAGGTTTCCAAAGCCATGGGGGTAACCCCCAGTTCTCATTTATCATTAAAATATAATTAATGGATGGTATTTTATGACAATGGATATTCCGATCATTTATATGTGCTATTTTAATGCTTCTCATCCATTTGATGTTTGGATTTTCCATTAAAACTATAAATGACCAATTTCAATAGCTATGTTAGTCATTACCAGAGGGTACATAATAATATATTATTTCTATTATATATATATACAGTAAGCAATAATAATCCATCCATAAATGGGAGTTTTTCTTTGGAGGATCGTCCCCAGAAGTGGCCCTGGCTGTGATCCTAAGTCTAAAAATCGGCTCCCTTCCAGGTGAAACCTGAAATCGAGGTAGCTCCTAAATCAGCCAACTAAATATGGCTATAAATATGGCTAAATATGGCTATAAATATAAATATGACTAAATTAATATGGCTAAATATGGCTATAAATATGGCAGGTTAACCATAGCCCTATCCATTTTCATGGGGCTTTAACCATCCATTTTGATGATTTTGATGCGAAAAAACTATGCTTAACTAACCACTTTCGATTCCTAGGATGATCCTCGGACTTGGAACCCTCAAGAGGCAGGTTACATCTGCCACAATCCAGAAGTATCATCACCATATCATAATACTAATATATAAATTACATTAATTTTATATAATAATTCATCACTATTACTTCACCAATTATTATATATATATATTATACAATATATATTATTACATCACCATTGATTTATATTCTAATTCCTAATATATATATATATTACATGCTAATTAGTATATAAATTCAACACAACGTGAGCGTTTTTTTCATGGGATATCACCCACCGGGATCGCGTGAAGCAAAGGCGCTGCTGTCATAGCCGCTGCCGCTGTCATAGCCCTTGCCGCATCCTCCGCAGCCCTTGCCACCCCACATGCCTGGCGGTGCCCCCGTGCCCCCGTTTAGGAGAGCGAATGTTGCTGGAAATAGCTAGGTGAACTGATGGCCTTATATCACTAGGGTTTATGGTACTTACAACTTACAACTATAGTTAATAAGGTTCCATACCAACCAGAAACTGGTGGACATAGCATGAAACGGCCAGGTTAACTGGTGGGTTTCTGACGGTTCACGGTAAATCTCTCGAGGGACACCGTCTTGTGGGCGTCTCATGAAAAATATCTGTCCACCAGTTGGATGAAGCCCAGCAGATATGGATTCAGCCAAGCCAAACGAAACTCCAACTCGTTGTCACCTCAAAGTAAATGGGATTTATTGGACTTGTTGGATGTTTATAGGACACTCATCCCCCATCGAAAAACAGCATTTCGATCCGTCCCCATCTGATCTGTCCAGGGTATGAATCCAACATGAACAGGTCCAAATTGACGAGGATATCGCCAGAACAAATAGGACTATACTCGCATTGACCAAGCTTGTAGGTACCAGCATCATCTTCTAATGCTTTGGTTGAAGATGTGACAGTGGTATACCCTCTGGTAAACTTTCACATAACTATGGAAAATCACCATGCTATTAATGGGTAAATCCGCTATTTCTATGGCCATGTTCAATAGCAAACCGAAACAAATTACCAGAGGGTATCTTTCATACATCATAGTCATTTCCCATAAATCACCATAGTAAAACATAGTAAAACCATAGTCATTTCCCAGAAATAGTCCCATTAAAACCTCCATTTCTTGTGAAATCCAAAACATCGCCCAGAAACCGATCCAGAACGACCACAGGAATAGTGGAGATTCTCACAAAAAAAAAAACAGAACAACATTGGGGGTCCATGATTGATGGATTGATTATTGATTGATGATTGGCTATGATTGATGATTGATGATTGATGACCATGATGGATTGATTATGATAGTATTGTTTTTTTTTGTTTAGAGCCAAAAAAGACGCTAGAACCAAAGAAATCCTGGCCAATGGTCTTAGAATCAACAAGTATTCAGTTCCAACAAGCGTTTTTTTGGTTTACACATGTGGCATCTGACTTTCCAAGGCTTGTTTTGGCATCAAGGTGCCTTTGCCACCCCACATCTTTGTCCTCAGCGAATTGCTGGGCACCAGGGCACCCCGGGATCCGATGCCGTAAACGGTGAAAAATGCTGTGGGGTGGTTAGGCCTCTGGTAATTTGTTACATAGCTATTGAAGCCATGGCCCCAGTCGAAATAGTTGATTTATCTATTAAAAGTGACAATGTTCCAGTTCGCAAACTGTAAACGTTTACCAGAGGGTAGGCCTCTATTTTCATCAACCAGTGGGACAGGGACGCTTTATAACACTAATATAATGCAGGCAGAGACAACTCATGACTCTCAGTGGCGAATCCCAATGTTCGACAGGAATCAGCTACAAAGGTGGAACTTTCCACTGAAAAATCCCCATTTGTAGATGATGTTCCCAATTAAATCACCATTTATAGAGGGATTTTCCAGTGCCACCTTTGATTTCCACAATGTGAGGCCCCCAAGATAGCTAAGTTGGTTTATAACTCCAATATCTATGGTTTATGGTACTTATAACTATAGTATTCATGGGGTTTATAAACCAGCTTATAACTGGGGGGCCTCACATTGCAGAGGGTAAGCCAGACTCCTTCAGCCAAGCCACACCGCTGTCACTGGAACTGTTGATCGGTAGCTGCCGGCGGATCTAGAAACCCATTAGAGCCAGCGGCAGCGATGCTTCACAATGGACCCCCATATTCCCAAGCTAACCATTCAGAATGGCTGATGGGGGGCTAATACCCTCTGGTAATTTAACATAGCTATGGAAAATCACCATATTATATGGGAAAATCCACTATAAATGGTGATTTATAGATGAATTATCCATTCAGAATGGGTTTGTCTGAAAATAGTGTACCCCTAAACCCAATGGTTTTGCTGATCATTATCCCTATTAAATGGCTATTTCATTGGGAATATACCCTATTTTCAGACAAACCCGAATGGTTGATGGGGGGCTAATAACTTCCATCCACAAGGCCTTAGTTGGTGTGGGGATTACCTTTTTGGAGGGGTTTCTCATAGATTTGCATACTGTAAACTCCGAGAACTGGAGGATCAGTGGGGGGCCAACCTGAGGTAAGGGTGGGGGTGCCCCAGGAATAGATGGCTAGGCTTCGGCCAATACGGGCGGTTGTTGGTGGTTCATAATCCTCTGAAATTCCATTTGCCATCTGGTTATTTAACATAGCTATAGAAAATCACCAATTTCAAGTTCGGTAAACCATCTATTTCTGTGGGCTATCTATACCATGGCGAACTGTTAAATAACCAGAGGGTATATCCCATCATATCTCCATAAAGTTCGTTGAATCCCAACAATAGAGCTGTCTGAATTGTGAGAATTCACCCGGAAATGCTGAAATCAAGGCATCCAAATATTGTTGCAGGATGGGGCACCATAGTTATGTGAACGTTGGCTTATAAACCATGAAATAAACCCCAATGACTATACGTAGTTATATCAGTTATATCTACCATAAACCATATAGAATTCAGCCACTTATAAATAAGGCAACTGAACGCGAGCTCGACTGGGGGCCCCATCCTGTGCGATTTGGCATGTTGGCCCTTCTCACTGCCACGCATCTTTTTTCGGAAGAGTCCCGCCAGGCATCGTCAGCTCGCTGCAGCTACGGACCGCGGCCCCGTTGACTTCTCCGGCGGCTGGCCCACTCTGCTTCCTCTCGGGCCCACCTGGTCCCAATTTCTGGCGAAATCCAGTGGTTTAGTTGGATAAAACCCAGTTGAAATCGTTGAAATCCCATGTTTCATGGTCACCAACACAGTCAGCCTGTCTTGCTCCTCCTTCCTCCTTGTTTCAGCACTGCGCAGGAACTCCTCACGTGGGAACCACAAATGGCTGGTCGAAAAACAGAAGGATTACCCTACCTCCAAAAAATCGAACTTTTGACCATGGCCCAGTTCCAAACCCACCTTCCTAAGTTGAATCTCTATCAACCATCAGTGACATGGGCTGTGACCCATCAAAAACTCGTCCGGCCTCGCGAATGCGTCGCCGTTCATCTTCCACTGTTTGAGCGGCCTGATCACGGGAGTGTTGTTCGGTGTTCCCTTCAAGGAATTGGTCGGAAAAATCCTCATGTCCCCCATACGTCGTGCAAAATCCCTATGTTGACTCGATTAAATCTATATCCACATGTCTTGTCTCACAACCTTCCATGTTTGTTGCTAAATTTCCTAAGATTGTTTGGTTAAATCCACATGTTCGTTGGTTTTCTCCTCACATTCCCTGCTGGACCATCATGATCATCATGTTTGCTGCTCAAAAATCCTAAATTCCACCCCATCACCAAAATAAAAATTTTCCAAATAAGTCCCCATGTTTCCAAAAAAAAAAAACTCAGAATCCCTCATCCTTTGATCAAAAATCCACTTCCCCCAACAAAATCCACCTCAGGATCAACCTTTCCACGGAGGTCCGCCTGCAGGCACTGTGCGGGTAGAGTGGGACCCCAGAGTCATCCAAAATGAGTAATTTTTCTTATGGGAAAACCAGTGGTTTGGGGTACCCCAATTGAAAAATAAACACCCAGTTTGGGGTACGACCCATTTTCGGATCCCATATTCCCACATTCAATTCCGACCGTCAAGTTTCAAAGGACCGATATTCTCGAACTAGGGGAACCAAACCAACACATGGCAGCTGTTATTGCTGTGAGGCAGCAAACTATTTTTGATATTAAAAATTAAAAAAAACGTTATCACCATACAGTGTGACCTAAGTACCCTCTGGTAAACTTTCCCATAACTATGGAAAATCACCATTTTATAGCTGAGTAAATCCACTATTTCTATGGCCATTTTCAATAGCAATAGCAAACTGTTAGTTTACCAGAGGGTATCTTCCATAAATCACCATATTTTCCTATATATTTCCAATAAATCATAGATGATAGATCAAATTTTGGTATCCATCCATCAATAAATGTGGAAATAAATCAAACCATTCCCAAAAATGAATCGAAGCAACACTTTCACGGCTGGATCCCACCCCGTTCCCACCTGGTACTGCCGAAATGCCGAACGATGCACTGGACCGAGGCCCACCTGGCGCTACCACAACTTGGTGCATCCCAGCTAGGACAAGTGGTTACCCTCTGGTAAACAAACATAGCTATTGAAAATGGCCATAGAAATAGTGGATTTACCCATTAAAAATGGTGATTTTCCATAGTTATGTTAGTTTACCAGAGGGTAACCATGGTAAAACCCACTGAATCTATAGGATACCCTCCAGTAAACATACAAAAAAGATGGGACATCACCATTTTTACTAGGTAAATCAACCATTTCTATGGCAATTTTCCAGTAGTGAACTATCATAACTACGGGAAATCCACCCATTTTATAGCTGGGTAAATCAACCATGGCTTCCAGTTCGCAAACTGTTAGTTTACCAGAGGATATATCCCATTAAATCCCATTAAATCCCATTAAACCATCATTTTCCTATGGTTTTTTGGCTGAAATATCCACCAAGTGGGGCCCGCATATCCAAGTAACCATCAACTGCAGATCACCCCAGGTGTCGCCCATCACCGGCCTTCTTTGTTGCGGGCGCAGGTTTCGGCTTGGCAGACGACGCAGAGGCATTGTCGCCCCCTCGCGTGAAAGAAAAACAGCGGGCCTGTTTAGTCATGGTTCAGTCAGAAACTTACATGAACAATTTTCCCCATGATTAATCCTAATGTTTGATTGATGGTTATATCCCGTTTATATCCTCACAAAAAAAAGAATGACATTGGTTTTACCCTCTGGTAAACTAACATAACTATGGAAAATCACCATTTTATAGCTGGGTAAATCCGCTATTTCTATGGCCATTTTCAATAGCAAACTGTTAGTTTACCAAAGGGTATATTCTATATTCCCATTAAAATCTCCATTTTCTACGGGGATTTCCATTGTTTTAATGGTTCATACCCAGCATAATTGATGCAAACAACCCAAGCTCAAGCCCCCTGCATCCCAGTTCTCCCAGTAGACGCACCTGACCCCGGAGCCGGATTCCGCTTGCTCAGCGAGACTTTGACAGCTGTCAAGACGCTGCCAGGACCCTCCAACCTGCAGGGATCCCTACCAGCCCTCGCTTTCCTAAGGTCGTCCTATAGTGGACAATGGGAGAATCGCAGGATCATCATGTGACATCATGTGATATGTATATATATATAAGCCTGGTTGTAAATGGGCTAAATAAGCTTAATGAACTTATAAGTGGGGTCAGAACTTAAAACGTGATGAGCCACCAAGGAACAACGATTCAAACGGGATATTAACAAGACTATCGTCAGATAATATGGGATGTGTTGTATAACTTAATAACCATCTATAGTCATCTATAAATCTAAAGTTGGATTTACCCCTCTGGTAATTTAAGATAGCTATGGAAAACCACCATGTTTAAGAGATAAATCATCGAACTAAAAGGGCCACATTCCATAGCTATGCCCCAAAATTGCGGTCGATAGTCACACAAAAGCTACGCCCCATGATCATCCATGATCCATCTGGGTAAATTATAATATTTCACTAACCTGAATTGTTGGGTCATTTGGGGATGATTCCCCTAAAATAAACCATGATTTCCAGTGAGGGAGGACAGGGTTCGGTCGTGATCAAATTTACCCAGATCCATGTATATATTTACCACTACCTACAGAACTGGCTGATTGTGGGCGCATATGAAATCAGTAGCCATGACTCAGGAACCGATTTATTGGAGGTACCAATTCCATAGAAAAAAGGCCTATTTTTCAGGCCTAAATTTCAGGGGATATCCCCACAATTCATATGGCCAAAAATATGGTACTAACGTACCTCCATCTGTTGGATTCCCATTGAATACATACGTGACCTAGGATATGGCTGTGGGCAACCACTCATGGGGTACCCCCCACTGGGCTTTGTGCCGATATCAACGCGCCAGAACGGGAGATGCCACATTTCTTGTGGTTGCATATACCGTATACCCTCCGGTAAAGCTGGATTTTTTTCCATTTACTGGTGCAATTCCGCAGGGAATTTTCGGGAATGATCCATTTCATCACTAGTCATGTCATCATCCCAGCAACCCCCAGCAACCCATCCACTACAATGATTGATTATAATCAGGACACTATAATGATTGATTATAATCCCCATTAATTATGATACTATATGATATTTAGTATTATTATTATGATACTATATGATTAATCCCTATAATTATCATAATTATTCATACTATAGATGTTCGATTGCCTCACGATAATCATAGTTATAGTTATAGTTCATAAATAACTAATTATTCATACTATAATTATAATTATCCCTTTACTATTCATATATAGTTATAGAATAATTCCCCCCATGTCGTTCGAAGATTTTCCTACGCCATGGAGATCTTCGAGGCGGCCTCACGATCGCTGGAGCCACCGGCAAAGCTTCCGCTTTGGCACAGGATGTCCTGACGACAAAGAAACAAACGGCCCTGCTGCTGTGCTGTTGCCGACTTAGAATCGTAGAACTATCACATCAAGCATCCTTAACATTTATTTGTGATGTTAGAACTATCTATTTTTAGAACTATCATAGTCGGCAAAACCATCACTGTTCTAACATTTATTTGCAGAACTATATGATGTTAGAACTATCTATTTTTGAGATGCTTTTGCCGACTTAGAACCGACCTAGAACTGTGAACATTCGCAAAAAAACTGTTGAAAATCTGAAGTTCACTAGGCAAGCCACCTGCAAATGTGCGAATCATCCACTGCAAAATTGCCTGACTCAAGGGCATCACATAGACGTGGTATGGTGCCATACATTTCGCTCCTGCCATCTGCAGCTAAAAAGCGGATGCGATTCACATACGGCACACCTCAGGGACACACGGACCTTTGCAAAAATCAGGTCCGGATCAACCGATCACCCAAGGGGGCGAAGCTCAAAATCGCTTAAATCATCCGGTTAAAAAATGAGGATTTCACATGAGGATTTCACCGGATAACTGGGATGAATCCCCCCTTTTTATTGGTTAAATCCTCATTGGTAAAATCGTCAAATCTCCATCGCTGGGTCAAATCACAGTTTTCTCGTCGGTAAAATCGGCATTGTTCAAGGTTAAATCACCACAGGATGGGGCCCCCCAGTTATAAGTTGGTTTATAAACCATGAAATAATCCCCATTAACTAGTTCGTTATATCTACCATAAACCATAGTTAATTCAGCCACTTATAAACCAAGTGAACGCTATCTTGGGGGCCCCATCCTGTGGGACAAATCACAGTTTGAATGTCACCCTGGTGATACCTGAGCACAGCACCCCAACTCTCGAAGGTCTTCAAAACCTGCGCTTTATAGTAGTGGAATTCCTTGAGGTTTTGAACAACCAAACTGATGGGATAGGGAAATGGATGATGGAGATAATGATGGGAAATATGTGGGATGTGGAAATAATAATTGGAAATGTATGTGAAAATATGGGATGTTCATCTATAAATCGCTGATTTGCAGGTGCGTTCGGAGTCATTTTGATGGGTATCACCGGTATAACTCCATAGTGAGTTCGCCTCCAGAAGTTGGAATATGGGGTTCCTATGGTCCTATTGTGAAATAGATCCTCTTCGTTCACTGGATCCAAGTCTAAAAATAAATACTCTGGTCTTCAACCAATGGTCAACTGGTGGTTTGGATTCTTGGCTTTTTTCCTAGGAATCCAAAGCACCAGCGCATCATTGCCGCATATGATCATCAGCCAATGAGGAAAATGATCAATGGCCATTTCAGGAACCGATTCATTGGAGGTACCTACCATATATAAGGCCTATATAAGGCCTAAATTTCAGGGAATATCCCCACAAAATATGGCCAAAAATATGGTACTAACGTACCTCCATTTTAGGATCCTGGAATTCCCATTGAATAAACCATGGAATTTGAGGTACCCGATGGTATGAAGCAAAAAGCTGCAGATGTGACTAAATAAACTTCACCAACAGAGCTGGGATGATAGAACCAATTCCAACAGGCTGGGACCCAGGTCCCAAGAATATAAAAGCCACTGGGGAAAACATAGTAATCCAATTCGAGAGTGTATGGTTTAGATGATGCGATGATTGGATTATCTCGTGTTTTACCAAAAACAAATATGAGAAAAAATATCAGTTAAATTCTTACTGTTAGATCGTCCAATTATCAATGGGAAATTGAGAATCCTAAAATGGATGTACTGTACCATATAAAGCCATATTTTGGGGTGTATATCCCCTTACCCATTGAACAGGTACCAAATGATCAAATGGTGCTTGATTATAGTACTTGATTATAGTATTACCACTATGATTATAGTACTTGATAGTAATCAAATATGGGGATGGGTCAAAACCCTGGTACCTAGTGAACCCCAAAATAGCTGGGATTCATGGATGTTCATCCCCCCAAAATGGTAATAGGTATTGACCCATACCCATATAATCACCATTATACTAGTATCCATAGTATCCATGGTAATCAAATATAATTAAATCCCATGGAAAATCCCATTAAACCACCATTTTCCTATGGTTTTCCTATGGTTTTCCTATGGTTTACCAGGCATTGGCAGGGTACCATCCCAGCCTCCTCAACGGTGATGGCACTGGTGTTCCAGCGGAATGGCACCACCTGGCTCGGTTCCAGGTGTCCCTGAGACCTGCCGTTGCTCCCAAAAAAAAAAAATCCCAGCGTTCATCTGTAGCAAACCTAAAAGAGACAGAAAAGTCGGAAAACCTGGAAATATGATGTAAATGTCAAAAAATATCCTGGTTTCACATGCTTCGGCATCTTGTTAGGCTCCTCCACACTTCTCAGGCAGGTCCTCCCCTGAGATGCCCACGGTTCCCTCGATCTGGAAGTTGACCTGCGAAGTGGAGAGTCCAATGTCTAGAGATTCTCGTTGCCACCAACGCTTCCCAGATCCAGGAAATCTTGGTGATACATGTGGAAAAAACAAAACCATGGGTGTTCGGGAAACCAAGGATAATGTTGGACTCATCCACCAACCAATAACATAAAAAATATCTGTGGTTGGTGGTAAAACCCAAGAGGATCTCACTGAGTTTCGAGAGATCCTCCAAAGTCCCATGTTTCACTGAGGATCGGGAGTCAAAATGGGGCAGACCCCCTATGGCCACTTAAAGTCATGATGAACCATGGTATAGAGAACAAGGTAGTTACTGGGAACATGAACGGTGGTAGGAAAAAAGGGTATTTTCCTGGCTCACTATAGTTGTTCATCAACCCCAAAATAGAGAACGAAAAGGGGGGTTCACCCTTTGGAACATGAAGTAAACCATGGGATCTGGGGTAGATTTTGTCACAGTTTGCCACGTCGTTTGGGCATCCCCTCCATCGGTTTTCTCCACTTAATTGGGACCCCAAAATCCTGGGTATCATCCTTGATCCTCATGTTTTCCCAAAGGTGCCATAAATTGGCAGACCCTCTAACACTTTGCGAACTGGAAGCCATGGCCCATAGAAAGTTCGTTGATTTACCGAACGAAAAGATGGTGATGTTCTAGTTCGCAAACTGTAAACGTTTACCAGAGGGTAAACATCCATAAATCACCATATATTTCCCATAAATCACCCAGTAGAAAATCCAATGTTCAAGCCAACCCTGCACCCGCGCCAATGTTGGCGCCTCCGAAGGGCTGGGATCGACTTGCTCCAAGCCATCCAAACTGGGCACGGAAGCGATGTCACGATGGTCACGAAGTGGCAACTCATTTGGGGAGACGAAGAGTGGTTCTAAATGCAAATACTACACATAGATGATCGGAACCATAATTAGTTGATTAGTTGGAAAAATAGAAATACTATGATATAATTGCTAATTACGGTTATAAAACGTTATAAAGTGGTTTTCTCATGGGGATACTACGAACAGTAGTACTCAGCTGGAGATGTTAAAGTTGCCCAGTCCATGCCACAATCCTAGTGGGGACAAGCTGACCATACCTACCCACTGAATCGCGTGGATGCTCAGATAGGGATGACCACCCGACTTTCAGCAAACTTCCTTACTTCAAGCAACCCATCTGGCAAGAATCACGTTCCAGCCAGCATCATTTCTGAGCCGATAGAAAACCTGCGAAGCGCAACCTTCTTCGATTTCGGAGATGATGGACAACGTGCATAATTAGACATATTGATCGACGTGTTTGTCCCTTTTTGGACTGAGCTGGCAACTCAAACATGGCTGGAGTTTGCCGCTGCCGTGACCGCAGCTAATGCACTGCTCGCGTTTTTGCTGTGCGTTGTGCTGACTTACAGGTGCTGCATTGTGCCGAATACTCTCAAGAGAGCTGTCCATGTCATGCTTTCAGGCTGATAGGTCAAGTGTATCATATGTCTATTTATTATAACTAGTCTTATTCCTCCAATATGGTTTTTACTGGATCAAATAATTGACCTGGTCTGAATTTTATTGGCTTATGATCATCACACATAACAGCGACAGCATGGATTTCTTCTGGATTTGGAAGGTATTTACCATCAGTTCCTCCTGAAAAAGGGCGAGAAGGTGCAGAAAAAAATGCTTGGCAATCGGAAATGGAGGTCCAACACTCGGTGCCAATAGGTCTGTATCATTTTGGGGGGGATGGAATGGATGGAATGGATGGAATCACAGATGGATTGCTTCTCTTCAGCAGTATCCATCAGCCCCATTCCTACTGATTCAAGGAGTACCAAGAATGACATCCAGGTGCGCCCTTCTGAGACCTTCTGGCGGAGCTGACATGTAGCCTTTGTGATTGCAAACATCACATCAGTCATTCGGGGGACCACTACCAACATCCATCTGATAGCTTGGTTGCGAACTGGTTCTACTCGTTTGTTTTTAGCTATTCCAACCATGGACTATAATGATCCCTTTTTAGTAGGTTAGTAGAAAGGCAATATGTACAATGAACCAAAGGATTGTTGACACTGCTGGAATTTAAAGGTGATGAGGCAGAGAGAAATTCAAGGGAAATTCTGCTGATTTCGTGCCATTTTCAGAGACCTTTTTGGCGCTACAACACCCAGCTCTGGGGCGCTCAGCTCTCGGGCTCATTCCCAATACCCAGCTGTGCCGTCCAGAACGTCATGGGAATATCATTGTTCAGCAAAGTGTGCGAGGATGGAGTGAAGCCCAACGACTCGTAGAATTTCCGAGCTTCAAGATTTCGATCGGCCACCAGCAGAACAACTCGCTTGATGCCTGGTTGTTTCAAGGCAAAATCGGTGGCAGCCCGCACACATGCCTTGGCCCATCCTTTTTGTCGTTCCTGTGGAATGGTATAGACGACCCCCAAGGCGGAAACCACTTCGTCTGGATACAACTGCGTTTCACCAAAACGGACACAACAATGCGACAGAAACCGGTCTTCGGAAGCCACCACGAAAGGGGTCGCAGGACCATATTTCGAACGACTCGATTCGAAAGAAGTCATCCACCGCACGGCAGAATCGACGGCTAAGGGTCGACCCATTTGCTTCCCATCCACATTGTCTCGGATGTCTTCCGGCTCCTGAGCATGTGGAACCCGGCCATCATGGTCAACCAGCCTTTAAACGAGGTCGACTTGGCTGAAACACCATCAACCAGGACACGTTTTTGATTGAAAATGGTGAGACCTCAAAAAATAAATGCTGGTATGATCGTTTTTCCCATTAATAAAAGGCCAGAAGTTCCAGAAGTTGGTGTGTAAATCTCCCATTCTTTGGACGACCAGGCAGTAAAAGACCTACCCCCACACGCCAAAGAATTGGTGAAGGGGCCTGAGATGAACCAGATGAACCCATGGAGGGATTCATTGAAAACGGTCGTGGGAAAAATGTGGGATATGGAGCTTTCCTAAAATGGGGGTACCCCAAGTCACCATAGGTTCAATACTAAAATGGTCTAATGACTTAGATGATTTGGGGGTACCCGTACTTTAGGAAACCTCCATATCTTGTTTTATAGCTAAATTTCGTCATAAGATATGCAAACTGGTGAAAACTTATCTGTTTTGCGCATAGAACATGTACATCCCCAGATGGTGGTATAAAAAGGAACTAGTTATAGAAAGTAGTAGAAGTGCATTAAAGTAAAAAACAATAGAAAGAAAGAATGTGGTGGAGAAAGAAGATAAAGGACTTAGACGAGATTTAAAGAAGGAATTCAGGAAAAAAAAACATAATGCGGGGTTTTTAATGATGTTCAAAAAGAAACTATGGCTATAACAGCATGTGAAAAAAAGAAAAAAAACACGGCACAGAAAATGGAAGATTGAGCGACGTTTTGGCGTCGTAGCTGGCGAAACTTGTGCGAAATAAATTTCGACTTTCGCAAACTCGAAGAAAAGTCATCACAATCATTACTTCTTACAAGGACCCTTAGATCAACCACCGTGTGTAGATGCGAGAAGTGTAGATGTAAGATGTGTAGATGTTCAGATGTGAGATTCGTAGACGTGAGAACTGTGTGAATGTGACATGTATAGATGCGGAGATGCGGAGATGTGAGATGCGTGGGAGTTGGTGTGGGTGTTTCTCTCCTCCTCAATTTTGAAGAGCCCTCTGCTCAGTGGCTCTCCAAACAAAGATTAATTACTTTCGTCGAGTGATCCCCACCAAGTGACTTTTTCTCTGGCATAGACTCTGACATTCTGACATAAAACATTCTTTCCAGCGTATTTGGAGATAGTTTTCCGTATATAAAAACTGACATTTGATCTGACATTTGATCTGACCTACCCTCCAGTAAATTAACAGTGAACAGCCCTTGCAGTCATCGGCCTTTTTCAAAATTCGTTTCCGCTCAAAAGTCGGTGAGTTTTTTCGGGTTTAACCGGCAAGCCCCTCTTTCAGATCGACAGTTTCGGGTAACGCTCCTCTTTCAAAACCGTCACAAGCCACTCAGCAGCCTCCTCGATGGACACTTGACGCACCTCAACTGCATTCCCACAAAAAAACTCCTGAGGTCCGGATGAGCAACAAACGTTAAGCAGTACCCTAGGAAAACCATAGGAAAACCATAGGAAAATGGTGGTTTAATGGGATTTAATGGGATTTAATGGGATATAACCTCTGGTAAACTAACAATTTGCTATGGTTTAAAACAGGAAAATCAACTATAAATGATCATTTTCAATAGCTATGTTAAATTATTAGGGGGTAATCCCGATCATCAACATGTTCATGTGAGTGTATCGATACCCCAACCAACCATTAACCAACCATCAACCATCATTTCGTCGCTAATATGTCCTTACTATTAGTGGATGTCGACTACTATCATACTAACCCAATCATAGGGAATATTTTTGGAAGTTATCACACGCAACAAACATGAAAGAAACAGGGTTTTTCTTCGGCCGGGAATGTGCACCTCAGTCCCAGCCGCAGTCAGAAAATTCCACGGCAACCAGCAGCCACTCCATCCAACCATGACCAGAAGGACCCCTCGGGACCAGAAATGACCAGCACTCCCAGCGCTCCCCGCAGTCAGCATCAAGCCACTCGACTCCGGAAGAGTTTGATTTCAGGGTGATTCCCACCTATGATATAATCCCCTACAGACTCGAAGCCCCAAAAAATGAGGCAAGTCGACAAGATACTATGGTTTTGACTGGCGAAGTAAGATAGAAATGGGTTTTGAACCTGGATGATTCTGAATTCTGGTCTATTCAATTGCCAAAAAATCCGTTTCAATGGCAGCTAATCAATTGAAGAGGGTATGTTCTTCACGTGGCGGCGTGACATTAATCCAATTCGGTGAGTCAATCATGAGCCGCCATAGAGTCTATCACAACCCTTGTGTTCTGAAAATTGCTGCGGGGTTTGCTGGAGGCCAATCAGACTTTCATTGGGATCCAGCTGACCGAACCAAAACAAAACGCACCATGTCTTGGATGAAAAATCCCCTACAAGGTGGTGCCCCCCCAAACGTGAACGTTGGCCGTTGGTTTATAAACCATAGTATAGATATATCCCAGTTATAAGTTGGTTTATAAACCCTATTAACTATAGTTATAAGTACCATAAACCATAGTTATTGGAGTTATGTTCACCAACTTAGCTATCTTTGGAGCTACCATAAACCATTGTGAAATTGGAGTTATGTAAGCCCCAACTGAACGTGATGAATTCATCGCTCCCTGGGGCACCACCAGCCGCAGAAAATTTCCCTGGGTCGATGTTGAGGATCAACAGGATAAAAATGGATCGTATTGCCGAAAAAGCCCTCTGGTTGTTTAAGATAGCTATAGCTGCTATATAGATCTATACAGGACATCTCATAGTCATAAATCATGTATGATGACTTTCCCATGTTGCTCCTTATATTTCCTCTATGAACATCATCGTCTTGACGACATGAACCATCACCTTATCCAATGAAGGTGATGTTTAATAACCCGGAAATCTACGGACAATTTGAGACATGGATGGCGCAGCATCAGCCTCCAAGTTCGATTTTGTCTCACTTGTCTGTCCATAAGTTTTGGACTTGCAATCCAATCTCCACCCAAAGTTTGAGCCTTGAATGCCACCCATCTTCATGGAAACCATGGAAATCCCAATTCTTCGTGGAGCATAAAACATCATATACTGTCTAAAGGTCGGTCCCTTAAATCAGGGAATTGCTCCTCGCCAATGTTCGAACAAACCGACGCCTCCGAGTAGGTCGAGTTGGATGCAAGAAACTGTCTACACGTGCAACTGCTACATTGAGGTGTGTCTCAAAATGATTCACCACAAGTTCTGTCGAAAATCGGAAAGGTAAGAAGCACAAGGTGGTGCCCCATAGTTGGTGAACACAACTCCAATTTCACTATGGCTTATGGTGGATATATCATATATCATCATATATCATCATATATCATCATATATCATCATATATCATCATATATCATCATATAATCATATTATATTAATCATATATTTATCATTATTAATCTATATTTACTATGGTTTATAAACCAACGAACATAACTGGGAGTTCACCATATGGTGGATACATCGCACTGGTTATGTTTTGGAGACACCCCAGTCATCGAGTCTTATGCTCAGACGGGCCCGTTGGCCCGTTGACCTGTCGTTTCTAGGAAGAGCTGGGCTCGGACGCCAAATTCGCCAACTCACCTTTGGGTGACACTTCCGGGTGCAAAAAAAGGCTGCAAGTTGTGCTCCAAGTAGTAAATTTCGTGAAGTCCTGTTTATTTGCCCAATATGCGTTTATGGTCCAATTCTGTTAGCGGGGGGGGTCAATATGCGTTTAGGGTGTATCAAAAAAAAAATCGTGCGCCATGAACGCATATTGGGGAATCTAACCACTCATGTCAGGAAAACCCATTTACCAACATTTACCATGAATGCAGGGAACCATCGAAAAAAAATAGTATATGTTGCGAGGTCCATTTTTTGTGTAATATGTGTGTTTAATGTATTTTGGGTGGCAAGGACCTTAATTTCCCTTTTCGGTGTGAAATAAGATTTTGGCGGATTTCTGCCAGCTATACCAATCAACCATGTGATTTACTGGGTTTGAGGAAAAATACCATCGGATTGTGTGAGGATATCATCCGAATTCTCTCAGGATATCCACATATAACCTATATCAAGAGAAAGTTCTTGTGGCAGTCAGAAAATCCTGAACGTACATCAAGACAGTTTCCAAGATTTTTTGGATGTACATGATAAAACTGTTTAAAGGAAAATGAACAACATGGCAACATGTTCAAAGGATAAAATGGGGCATTTTGGAGGATGTCACTTTTGGAATCTGATGGAAATTTCGTTTTTGCGGATACCATCACAGTTTCCGAAGGATAAAACAATCTCTGAGGATCAGAATTTTCTGAGAAATAATTCTCTGACGGTATCATCATAAAGCATCTAGTATGTTCTAGGATTCTAGGATATCAGCAGACCTCTGGGGGATACATTCAGAAATTTCTGAGGGTCATCAGATTTATCTGAGGATATCATGAACCATTTCCGAGAATATCAGGATTTACAGATGATCATCAGAACGTTTGAAGGATATCATGAGGAGTTTATCAGGATATCATTTTCGCGACATGCATCAGGTAATTTTGAGCACGGAAAAAGAGGCAAACACAACAAGTCAAACAGCGCGTGCTGTATGTATACAAAATAACGGCATGCTTTGTGTTTGTTTCTCCTTTGAGAATCAGATTTGCCAAGGTTCATCATTCTGACAATCTCTGGATATATCTGGTGATTGAATATCAAATACATTTGATGATTATCATCATGCTTTGGTCTATTTTAAAATAAATATAGCTTTGATGGTCAGGGAAAAACAACAAAACAAGTAAAACACACTGCGTGTTGTCTGTGTACACAATAGGGCCGTGCTTCGTGCTTGACTTTGCTCTTGGAGATTTTTTTTTGCAACGATCGTCGTGCTGACGAACACCGGATATATCCAATGATTATTGGAATTGTCATTAACCGAAATTTCTGGTGATTGTCAAAAAAAATCTAAAGAATCCTCAGAATTTTCTGAGGATCGTCATCCTCAGAAATTTCTGAGGACCCTCAGAATTTTCTGAGGATCGTCATCCTCAGAATTTTCTGAAGATCCTTATGCTGAGAATTGTCTGAGGGTCCTCATCCTCAGAATTTTCTGAGGATCGTCATCCTCAGAATTTTCTGAGGATCCTCAGAATTTTCTGAGGATCGTCATCCTCAGAATTTTCTGAGGATCCTCAGAATTTTCTGAGGATCGTCATCCTCAGAATTTTCTGAGGATCCTCAGAATTTTCTGAGGATCGTCATCCTCAGAATTTTCTGAGGATCCTCAGAATTTTCACTCGATAAGCGTTTTTTTGTTTGAAAATAAGCGTTTTTTTGGCACATTTTCATGAAAAAAACGCTTATTGAGCGAAAATTCTGAGGATCCTCGGAAAATTCTGAGGATGACGATCCTCAGAAAATTCTGAGGATCCTCAGAAAATTCTGAGGATGACGATCCTCGGAAAATTCTGAGGATCCTCAGAAAATTCTGAGGATGACGATCCTCAGAAAATTCTGTGGATCCGCAGAAAATTCTGAGGATGACGATCCTCAGAAAATTCTGAGGATCCTCAGAAAATTCTGAGGATCCTCAGAAAATTCTGAGGATGACGATCCTCAGAAAATTCTGAGGATGACGATCCTCAGAAAATTCTGAGGATCCTCAGAAAATTCTGAGGATGACGATCCTCAGAAAATTCTGAGGATCCTCAGAAAATTCTGAGGATGACGATCCTCAGAAAATTCTGAGGATCCTCAGAAAATTCTGAGGATGACGATCCTCAGAAAATTCTGAGGATCCTCAGAAAATTCTGAGGATGACGATCCTCAGAAAATTCTGAGGATGAGGACCCTCAGAAAATTCTCAGCATAAGGATCTTCAGAAAATTCTGAGGATGACGATCCTCAGAAAATTCTGAGGATGAGGACCCTCAGAAAATTCTCAGCATAAGGATCTTCAGAAAATTCTGAGGATGAGGATCCTCAGAAAATTCTGAGGATCTTCAAAGAGTCTGAGGATGAGGATCCTCAAAAAAAGCTGATGATTCCTCAGGAAAATCTGAAGGCTTCTCCGAAAATTTTGAGGGTTCCTCAGTAAATTTGGAGGAATCTCCAGAATTGTTTGTTTGGTAACCATCAAAAAAGTTCTGATATATATATATATGAAATTATGCTAATCAAGGATCAGTTTTTGTTGCAACACATCAGCTACAAAGTCCGAGGATATTTTGTAGCTGATATTTTCAGCGCAAATTGCGACTGTTTTCTGCGGATATCACCAGCATCTCATCATAACCTTTCTAAGGATATCATCGGAAATATCATCAGAAGTTTGTGAGGATTATCGGACCTGTCTAAGGATATCATCAGAATGGACTCATCAAAATTTCAGCAGAAATTTAGCACGTTACCAGCCATAAACTCTGGGGATATCATCAGGATTTTCTGATACCAGCCCAGAGGATCAGCATATAGTTTCTCATCAGGATGTCACATGATATCATATCACCAAAGTTTTCGGAGGATAACATCAGAATTTTACTATAGGGACCGTTTTTTTCAAAATTTGAGAGCAGCAACGCTTCAAACCGTTTGGCTTTGAAAGATTGGGGCGGTTGTCCTCAGACTTGTTTGTTCGTTATTGGTGCCCGCATGCCAACATGAATATGTTGTTTCTTCATGAAGCGTTTGTTCGTTTGACTTTCCGGGATAATGATAATAACATTTAGTTGTGAGAATGCTGCTCAGGATCATCCAGCGGATAAGATGCTCAGGATCATCCAGCCGAGAAGCATGCTATAATGAGATTCCATTGCAACAAAATAAAACTTAAATGACTATATCAACGCAGATTGGCATATAGGAAAGTGAATATTTTTGTGGTTCCGTCACTTCCAAACAGGCGATATGCAAATTTACAGTCTAATTTGTCAAAAAGGAAAACAGCAAATGTTGTTTTTCACTCTCCAAGCACTCAAAACGCATATAGCGCAATCATTATCAGAAAATTGAATAAACCTTAAGCTCAAGAATGGCAAGATCTGACACTGTTTGCGGGTTGAATGTCCGGGCAAGGTCCTGCACATACCACCGGGAAAACCACTTGCTCAATATGCGTTTTCAACTTAGAATCATCGAAAATTAAGCGCAAAAAAGTTCCATTTTGAGCTTTCATGTAGTCAAAACGCTTATTGAGGGTCCACCCTCAGAATATTCGCTAAAATTAGGGTTCACGAAATTCCTTAGCTCCAAGATGTTGAAAAAGATGTTCCAAGAAACCATGTCCATGTCCATGTGCCATGTGCATAAATCATGAAACTCAATGGTTCAACAATTTCTGTAATCAACCCCATGTTGCAACTATGTTCATGAATCAAAATTAATAAGAAAAAAAAGCTTCCTGGGAAGCAATAGTCAACCAGGTTCATCAGCGTTCTACATTTTCTATATACTGTGGGTAAAACAATAATAAACCATCCCCCAGTCATCACGATTCTTATAGGTAGTATGGTTACCATTCCCAGTCATGAGTGGTTTCTGGCATTGTTTTACCCACATGAGAACTATGGTTAGTCGGTATTATAAACCACAAAATGTTGATGATAAACTTTATAAACCATCAATCCATTAATTGGTATAATGAACCATTAATTACAGGATGGGGCCCCCAGTCGATAGCGTTCAGTTGGTCTATAAGTGGCTTAACAATGGTTTATGGTAGATATAACTATAGTTAATGGGGATTATAATGGTTTATAAACCAACTTATAACTATGGGGCCCCATCTTGTACCATATTCAAGCCATTAATACAGGATGGGGCCCCATGGTTGGCTAAGTTGCTTTGTAAGTCCAATTTCACTAGGCTTGATGAGGGATATAACTAGTTGGCTAAAGGGATTACAAATCAACTTATAACTGGGGGGGCACCATCCATAGTATCCCCTTTATAGTATCCAAAAAGGGAATTATAATCATCAACTATCCCATTTATCATAGATCAACTAATCATTGAAATAAAGGGGATTATATATATATATGTATATATATATATAAATCAGCACCATCCATGTATCAACGTATCTATCCCTCGTGGGGATGCATCCTTCGTTACAAACATGGCCTGGAAAATCCACCACGCCCAGCTTCCGGAAGTCTACGCTGAAGTTGCCGCTGCGCCAGCGGCGCCGCCGTTGCCGGCGGGTTTTCGACCCCAGGTCTCCACTTGCAACTTGGATCCTTCGAACTCAGAACCTGGAGATGCTAACCCGGAATTCATGGGATTTAAATGGATTTAAATGGATTCAAACATTAGGAATGATGATTTAGCCAACAAAAATGGGAGTTTTGCTGATTTGAATGATCTAAGAAATCAGGAGTCTGTGATTTAATGATTTTAATGGAATAAGGCCATTAAAATTGATGATTTAATGGGATCCAGATTGCAATATTTTATGGATATGTTTAGATACTCAAATGAAAGGATCATCCCGGTTTGTTTTATTTGGGGCAAATTCGGGTCTCTGTCTGACCAGAGGGTGTCCCGAGATTCCGTTAATTCCATTGATCATCGTTGCCCCCCAATCCCAATCAAAATTGCCAAAAAAAAAAACTGTATGGATCAATAGCTATGAAAATACCATTTTTAGGGGGATGAACATCCATTTTAACCCAGCTATTTTGATGTGAACTACAGGGGTACTATTGGTTTTGACACACTGCCAGGTTTGTTGCATGCAAAAAAAAATGCCCCCACTTTTTGACAAACCCGAGAAATGGATGACTTGGTCAATCCCACTGATGATCCTCATCGCCACTATCCTCATCCAAACATCCCCATTCTTGATATTGATGCTGAAATCCCAGATATGTTTGGATCTCCAAAACAGTTTTTTGGGTTAATAGCATCAAATTCCCCTCAAAATCTGCATTTGATCCCATAAAATCCTTTTAAATCCCATGGAAAAGAGAAAAACATGTTCTATGCTTACAGGAATACCCCATTTATGAGACACGCAGATTTTGATGCACTTCACCGCGATTTAAGGCTGCCACCGTTCAACATCTCAACGGCCTTTTGAACCTTGCGGGAAATTGCGAAGATGTCCCCCCGCATTGTTACATTTATATATATACACATCTTAATACAGATACATACACGCTTTAGTATACTATATGACATACATATATATATATATAATATTATAGATTATATATATATATTCAAAACCCACAAGTTGATAGTTCGATCTCCATTTTCCCGAGATGTTCCCGCAGCAAAAATCCCAATTGCTTCAGTGTCACTCTTAGATAAGAAGCAAACACACTGGAGGCGTGTAGCTGTTTCCAAAATATTCGCATGGCGAAAGATTCGGTTGTATTAAACTACCAATCACCAGCTATTTTACCTATATTTTCTTGATCCAATTGTTAGTTAAGCATCCATGTTTGTTGGCTAATTGTTGAATATTTCTAGCCAAGTTCCACACTTGTTGCTGGTTCTAGCCCCCATTTTGGCTGCTTAAGCCACCATTCTTGATGGCTATAGAAATCCCTAGGAGTACCCATCAAGAAGTATAAAGTACTCAGATATCCTTTGATAGTCGGTTTCCCCAGAATTGTTGTTGTATCCAATGATATCCCCAGTTGCAGATGATTTTCTGGACAAGTCCTGATCCATATATCAATTGTTGGTTAATTCCTCCATATTGTTGGTTCAACACCCCATTTGCTCCTGGTTACATCCCTCATTTTTTTCGATTAAACCACCTGGTTTCTTATATCTGGTTGGTGGTTGACCTACCCCTCTGAAAAATATGAAAGTCAGTTAGGATTATGAAATTCCCAACTGGAAAGTCATTCAAAATTCCATGGTTCCAGTCACCACCAACCAGATATTTTCATGGTTCAATCATATGAAATCCACATGTTTGTTGGTTGAATCCCTATTTTTTGCGGCAAAAGTTCGCCTCCTCGCGGGTCTTGAAGGCGGCGCCGCCTTTGGCGCTACGACCCACTTCGGCGAAGAGACAGGCACCCGCTTGGGTCATGTGTTCCTGCTACGGCATGGCAGTGGCGGATGGTCGGATGGTCGGATGCCTGGAAATGTTCATCTGATTTTGGTGGATGCTTTTGATTTTCACCTGGGATGTTGGATGATTTTTTCCGGATTTTACCAGGATTTTTTGTGGGAGGGCCATAAAGGGTTAAGCCAAAAATGAGACCATCTGGGTGAACATCCGAGTCAACAAGTGCAAGCGTTGCAAAGTAGGAGACACAGCCAGATCTGGATACGTTGTTGCCAAGCTCTGGGGATGTTCACATATGTTAACCAGTAGCAGGGGTTGAACATACCTGGTTGGTGGTTGAGCCTACCCCTCTGAAAAATATGAGTTCGTCAGTTGGGATGATGGCATTCTCAATATATGGAAAGTCATAAAAGTCATGATCCAAACCACCAACCAGACATTAATCACCATTAACCACCATTAACCACCATTAACCAGTGGATCCCTCTCCTTCAAGCGTTTATTCAGCTCCTGGGTGGCGAGCTGTAGGTGATGCCAGTGATGCCAACTTTTTCGGCATGTGGCGGGGGTCAAGCGTTCAACGTGTCTCATGGGGGTCTTGAAAAAATGTGGTTTGCTTTATCTAATAACTATAGTCACTATAATTAGTAGTCATTATTTGGGGTTTAGAAAAAATGTGTTTTGGTTTAAAAACCCCACAATGTGAGGCCCCCCAGTTATAAGTTGGTTTATAAACCCTATTAACTATAGTTATAAGTACCATAAACCATAGATATTGGAGTTATGTTCACCAAGTTAGCTATCGAACTGGGGCCTCACATTGCATGAATAGTATGAATACTCTAGTTGTATCCCCCAAATCAACCCGTGACATACATCCTGATTTGACCACAGCAGGTTCTTGGAGTATTCCATGTAAATAAAGAAATGTGTGGGTTGCTTCTCAGTGAAGTTCACCATTATCAGCAACAAATAGCTGTTATCAAAAGGAACAAACTGTTCAAGTCGTTCCGCAAATAAACTATGGATATTTGATGGTCAAAAACATCCGAATGGTAGATAGCTGGAACATAGTTATTCCAATATGAAGATATTTGGATCTGAAACTTCCAAAAAAGCTATGGATGATAACCATAGATAACCAAGATCAATCATTGATAATGAAAACATATGAAAACTATTTTTCAAGATATCTCCCAATATTTTTCACTAGTGGATTTTCAACTTCATCCCAACTTTATCCATTTTCGGGAGTTTCCATTATAAACTATAAACCATCCAACTAGGGTACCCTCTGGTAATTTAACATAGCTATTGAAAATGGCCGTTTATAGCGAGTTTTCCCATTAAACATGGTGATTTTCCATAGTTATGTGATAGTTTACCAGAGGGTAACATCCCAACTAGGTGATCTCTTCGTCGACCATTTCTGGTCGGAGCCATCGCCAAGTTTCGATGTCGGGAGCCGTGGTCAATGGCAAGCCGCCGATGAAAACCTTCTTGTCCTCGGAGCGAACACAGTCGTCCAAGTTGGGGACACACGGTCGAAAACTGTGGGATTCAACCTCCGAAGAACTGGTTGGGACCAACAAAAGATGGTTAATAATGGTTACTAATAACTGGTTAATAATGGTTAATAATGGTTAATAATGGTTAATAATGGTTAATAATGGTTAATAATAACTGGTTAATAAGATTGAGACTCAATGGGATCTCAATGGGTTTGAAGCCAGAAAGCAGTTGAGAAAAAAGCACCAAAAGAGGACTGTGGTAAGAATTCTCCGGCCCAACACCTGCTTCACCTGGTTTGAGAAGGTTATTTTTCAGGAACTGACTTGGCAAGAGCCATCTTGATGGGGTTCTCCTGTGTGGTCAGGTTACATGGGATGAATGGTTTCCCGTCATCCCATACCCCGCGGTCTCAGCGCCCGGGCATTCGGAAAAGTGATCAAACCAGACTTGCCTTGGCCTTTCCCATAGCCCATCATCATCCTGGGCCAAAACAGCACGACACCCGTTGATTCTTCAAAAAGCCAGAATCCTGTATGATCCCAAAAATCTATGTAATCCTATGGTCAATCGAAATCCACCAGAATGATTGATAAACACAAAGTATGTATACGTATATATATATATATATGTATACATACATATATATATATATATATATGTATATAATGTATACATGATCAGTTTGTCATTGCAACTGATGTCTTAACCTCCATTTCTGGTCAACCCCTTCTTAGCCCTCCATTTTCGCCAGGTCGCTGCATCATCATGGGATTCCACATCATGTCGTAGCCATAGCCATAGCCGCCCTTGCCGTAGCCATAGCCCTTCCCAGCCCACATATCGCGATGTGCCTCACAGCTGACAGGAGCATGGGATCGAGTTTTTCAATGTCCATCTCTGGGTGGGCTAAATATGTAAAACCCAATTATTATTTTTTTTAACTACCTAGCTTTGAGCTGAGAAAAGACCGTTGGTGTTGTTTAAGCCCTTGATTCGTCTTGGTTTCACATTCATCCAATCTGTTTTGCCACCAAAAACTTGGGACTTCCAGTCGAACGAATCACGCCACCTTCGGTGACACGCGCGCCACAGATCACAAACCCTGTAGAACCATCAAATGCTGCGAGTTCTGCTACTTTCAGGCGCCGAATACTGTGGCATGTGGGTTTTCGATAGAAGTACTGACACTTTGTCGCATTGACAAAAACACTGAGTGCATGAAATTTTGACTCGGAGATGGATTAAGCCATCAGGTATATACCTTGTCTGAATGAAAGGGCAGCATTCCGTCTTAGGAAAATGCCACAAGGGTCACAAATTGTCACTTTCTGCCCTTTCAGACTGCTGACCTGCCAATTTTGCACCATGCTTTTTTCCGCTCAACATTGGTAGCCCATCATCGGGCCAAGCCAATCAAAACTGGTTGCCCAGCTGAGATCTGTGGTGAGGCATGAGTCAAGTCTTTGTCCCACAAAAGAGACCAACAACAACTTGCGAATTCTTGGGTTTTACCAACAAAAGCACACAAAAGTTGGGATTTCATGAATTCAAAACTCCTGGTGATTGGGAGAAACCATCCGTTCCAAACACATCACCAGCATCGCAAAAATCGAAGACTTGGACCAGCTTGGACCCGCATCACCAGCCAGCCACACAGGCTGCAGCTAGAGAGAACTCAGCAGCGATACACGGAACGACCATCTACAAAGACTTCCTTCACATTTCCTAGTAGCTTGAGCCACGGTGGCGAGGGGGAACCCGAAAAAATATGTGATTCTTTCGGACCATCATCCTAAACAGATAAAAAAAAAACAACCAAAAGAATCCAAACGGAAAACCAAGAAAAATCATCAAAAATCACATCTCGAAAAACCTTCTCTCATGAAATTCATGAGTTTCGATCATCACCCAGCGTGATGATCTTCAACAGCAAATCCTCCTTGGACTCCGTTGTGGGCCACACCGGCGGCCTCCCCTCGCAGGACCTGCGCAGGAGCACGGCGTCGAAGCGTTTCTGTTCCTCGAAGCTTCCCAGATGCTCCGCCAAACCCAGGGCTGAGGCTCCACCCAAAGTCGCCAAGTAGAGAGCCTGGAGTCACGGGATATTCACGTCGGATTCACCGTACGGTGTCTGCATGTCTGCAAAACAATGCTGTCTGGGCTGGGTATAGCTGATAATATATTTCAATATATATATATATATACATATGTATGTATATATATATATGGCCATGAAATAATCGAAAATCAGGAACCAGTGGATTTAGGCTACCCGAGCTGAAAAGTAAAAAATGATGAACAAAAAATGTGGAGGAGCCGGACGCCAACATCCCTATCTCCATCACTTCACAAAGTTGGCTGCACCCACAAAAAGAATGGGGGCCTTTTGGACCCATGTCGGAACAAAGGAAACTACCGAGCCATGTTGATCTCAGTCACGAGGATGCACGTCCAAGTACCAATCCCCCAAAAATGGTACTCAGTATGACCCGTACATCTAGTAGATGGAAAGTATGTGAGATTCACCCGCAAGACAACTGTGATATGTTGCGACTGCAGCGAAACTAGCATTGTGGATCCAGTTGCCATCCCAGTTTGGTGGGCCATTATCATTATTCCCCATTTTGTTCACTTATACGCACTCTCATGATTGGTAGGTGAAATATCCCAATCCTTCTCCAGTTGTATCCTCCCTATCACATATCGACACTCAAACACCACAGGGAGGTGTGAACCATCATTCAAACACCAGATGTTTATCCCCAACAATAGATAAATTTGAAAGATCCGGTGACATCCCCCTGTTTGTTTCATACTCCCATGTTTGTGGGTTAACATCCTCATGTTTCCTTGCTCACATCCCTGATCAATCTACCAATTTCCAAGACGTCCAATAAAGTTATCAATTTTGTTCCCCTTAAAATAAAGGTTCATCATCAACTGTCACCATGAATTTTCCTACTCACATTCATGATTTCCCCATCTCCAGCCTCGAAGTGGTTCAGATCGTGCGCATCCTTTGCCTCCTCAGTGCTTTCCCTCCAAGTGTCCGCCAGACTGGAACCTGAAACGTATCCTCAGACGGCTTGCGCTAGATCCAACATGGAAACATTAGGAAAATCAGCTGGAAATCGTGTGAAAATAGTAGGAAAATGGAAGGAATATGGGGAAAACATGAGAAAACTATTGGAGAATTGCTGCTTTCATAAGTCTAACCATGCAAAACCGTAAATTGACCAGTAAAAATGATGGGTGAATGGGATCATGATTTGGACAAATTCAGGCTATGACGGGGATATAGTGGTGACATAATGGGGATGCTGATATAACCATCAAAAAGCTGGGTAGAATAGTGATACAGCTGATTAGTTATAATCCTACCCAGCTTTTTGATGGTATAACCCCATATATAACCGAATAGTGGTATATGATCCCATTAGGGATCGTCTTGGATTTGCTGATTCGGGGGCCATCGAATCAACATGATCAACATGTCTGGTGGATCAACCATGTCTGGATCAAAAACATCTTCAGCAAATCTAGGAAAAGAATGGAAAGATGATAGAGGCCAATTCCAAAATAGCAGTAAAGTACTTGAATCATCTTGAATCTATCTCTTGGGGAATATAACTTGTCCATTTTTACAAGGGTGCTGCAAGAAATTCTCAAAATGTAACTGTGTTGGTGCCACCTCACTGTTTTCTCCAGTTTGGCATGTCAGATCCAATTTGTTGGCAAAAACACCTGCCCTTCACGACATCCTGAGGTTCTCTAAGGCCATCCCCAAAGCATTCGTAAAACATCCGAAACACGTGATGAGATGTACCACAGCCAGTTATATATCATAGAATTGGATGATGGGAAAAATTTACAGGAAAGCCCTATATTTGATGGTAAAAACCCATGGGTTTCCTGTAGATTTTCCCTTAATCCAATCCAGTGTATATAGTGCCTATATAAAACAGGTACCCTCTGGTAAACTAACATAGCTATGGAAAATCACCATTTTTAATGGGAAAATCAACTATAAATGGCCATTTTCAATAGCTATTTTGACATAACCAGAGGGTATGTATCCACACGAAAGCTGTTGAGGGCCTGATAGCAACGGTCCGACTTTTCAACTGAACCTCTTGATCATTTTACGGGCGTTCTTGGAGTCCCCTGGATCATGGATCAGAGTAACTCCCAAAAACGCTTTGATGATCCAATTCTTCATCAACACATCTGATTCAATCACATCTGATCAGCCCATCTTTGTAGGTTCTCTTTCAAATCCGTACAATGTGAGGCCCCCCAGTTATAAGTTGGTTTATAAACCCCATGAATACTATAGTTATAAGTACCATAAACCATAGATATACCATAGATATTGGAGTTATGTTCACCAACTTAGCTATCGAACTGGGGCCTCACATTGTATGATTCCATTGGGCCATGACAAATCTTAACGATTTAACCATATAGAAAAGCCCATGTTTGAAGGGTCGAAATAAGCCATATCACCCATATCTTTGATAGTCAGGCGAAACGTCATAAAATGTCGATATTTATCGAACATTATCGAAGGGGGCGTATGGGGGTTCCTAAAATAGGGGTACCCCCAAATTATCCCAAAAAATTGTATGATTTTCCAGCAAATAACCCATCCAACTATTGGGGCCGGCTCCATCAAAATGGAAACCCCCAATGTATAGCCAATGGATTTTCAACGGTACCCTCTGGTAATTCGTCACTGCGAACTTGAAGCCTCCATAGAAATAGAGAAATAGTTGATTTACCCACTACAATGGTGATTTTCCATAGTTTTTTTGTATGTTTACCAAAGGGTACTTCATATTTGTTTCCCTTGTTAATCACTATAGATATAGATAATATAGATATTTAACCACTATTAATGGTGATTTTCTCCCCCAACTTCGATCGCTTCCCAGCATCGAAATTGAAGACTCTTCGAGGCCAGCACCGCGGCGCGCATGGCTGAGAGCATGGACGGCGAGTATCCTCCCGCGACATCGGTACCCAAACCCACCTTGATGCCCTCGCGAACCAGGCGTTTCACCTGGAAGTCTGATCAAGTGGGGGATGACGACGACCAAGCCAGAATGGTGGCTTAAGCAACAAGAAGCTCCAGAATCCTTGGGGACTAATGGTGACTAATGGTGGTTAATGGTGGTTAATGGTGGTTAATGGTGATTAATGGTGATTAATGGTGATTAATGGTGATCAGTGAGCAACAAGCCATTGAAGGATATTGAAGGTATATTTAAAAAAAGAAACGAATCATGGGGATATATTGGGGTATCGATTTTCTGATGGGATATCCACCAATATGAAGTTATCATGAAAATATAGATGGGGATATAAAGAACATATATATATATTATATATATAACTGGATTGATTGGGATATTTCATGGGGATATGCCCAAACTTTTCGGACGTGGTCCAAAATATCATGGAGATGGCCTACCAACCCATCAAAAATGGTTATAAATGATGCTTTAAACAACAAAACTGGGTGTATAAAATCAAGAACCATGCAAATATCCATTAGGATACCCTCTGGTAATTTAACATAGCTATTGAAAATGGCCATTTATAGTGGATTTTCCCAGTAAAAATGGTGATTTTCCATAGCTATGTTAGTTTACCAGAGGGTATCCACTAGGATTTTCCATGATTTTCCAACAGGGATTCAACCAACCTCCTCCAATTCGGTGAAGCCCCAATAGTGTTTGGGCTCCAAAATGGCCACTCTTGGCATCTCCGAAGGGGGTCACCTTTGAGGGGTGGATCCCAAGGAAACATATCCCCTGAGTTGGATCACTAGGACGTCTAGGGTCGCTGGCTCTACACCGGGGGTCAACCAATATTGAGTTATCTTAGTTCACGCGCCTTTCTGAAAAAACTTAAATTCAAGTAACTGGGTTGAGTTCACCCAGAAATAGGTGTGGTAGCTGAAGATTTCTGGGCAAACCAGGAAAAACACGATTGTTTATCACAATTGTTCCCACTAAGGTTGCCGTTTGCCATTTGGGCGGTACAAATTATGTGCAGACCCAAGGTCAACTAGCGGTCAGTTCACCCATTCAAAAGGGGCCAAGTCAGGATTATCACCAATTAAGTATGAATCAGACCATTTATCACCAATTAAGTATGAATCAGACCATTTATCACCAATTAAGTATGAATCAGACCATTTATCACCAATTAAGTATGAATCAGACCATTCAGAATGAGGATGAGAATATTAATATTCATTTATACATCCCATTCAGAATCAGGATTTTTCAGTGCTACGTAAATCACCAATGGAATGAACCTCTGCTTTGTGAAAAAGGTGGTAACATACCCTCTGGTAAACTTTCACATAACTATGGAAAATCACCATGTTCAATGGGTAAATCCACTATTTCTATGGCCATTTCCATAGCTATGTAACAAATTACCAGAGGGTAAACATCCATAAATCACCGTATATTTTCCATATGTTTCCCATAAATCACCATATTTCCCATAACTAAGTATAAATGTGCCATTTTCAATAGCTATTTTGACATAACCAGAGGGTAGGTTCGCCCAAATCGCTCTTCGCAGAGCAACTGGCAATGCTCCATGGGCGAAGAAGAAATTCGACAAAGGACAGTGGGCAATCGAAGCTCCAGAATCCTTGGAAACTCCGCCATGAGGAAAGCAGAAAACCATCTTCCCAGTTTCTCCAAGGTTAATGATGATGGAAAAAGTGATAAAAATGGTGACTAATGGTGATTTTCATGGTGGTTAATGGTGATTCATGGTGACTAGTGATGATTAATATTTAATAGTGATTGATGCTGATTAAAGGTGATTCATAGTGATTAATAGTGGTAAATGGTGATTTTCATGGTGATTATCATGGTACCAAAAACAGTGATCAATGGCTACCCGTAGCTGGTAGCTGGTAGCCCATGGGACCGGACCATGCCCAAAATTCGACTCAAAAAATCCGCTCGGGCTCTTTCAGGAGACGTTCCTCCGCTTTTTGCATTTGGACACAATGCGCCATCACTGCAGCAGCCTGGACCTGGGGTCCTCCAGGTCGCTCAGGTCCTCCAGGTCGCTCAGGTCCTCCAGGTCGCTCAGGTCCAGGTTTGCCACGCAAAAGTCCAAATTTGGAAAAGACCTCGGCATCCGAAAAGCCAAAAAGCCTGGCAGAAAACTCCACCTCATCGATGGATTCACTCATGTGGCTCTGAATCATGCAGTTGTACTTCTCGGCCAAATCGCCTGGCGATTTGAACAACGGAAAGTGAGATTTGTTGTATCCCCTCACAATGGGATATCTCTCTCAGAATTGCAAACCCCAATTCAATGAATATTGAAAACCATGGTTTCCCTCCACTTTCCACAACAAAACATGACTTTCCAAAGCCCTGGCCCAAACCACGCAAAAGCTCTGGGCTGCAGGTGGGTAAAAACCTGGGTGTCACCACTGGCTGTGCCAAATAGGGCCAAGTGCCATATTCAGCTGCTCGAGCTTGGGTATAGATGATGAAGTCTTCAGTAGCATTCCTCGGATAAAAATGGGGCCTCCAGGGGGCCCCCAGTCGATAGCACGCTCGTGTGAAGCGTTGCCTGCAAAAAGTGGCTGAATGAACTATGGTTTAGGGTAGATATAACGAACTAGATGAGTATAGTTACTGGGGTTTATAAACCAGCTTATACACTTATAGGTGGGGGCACCACTGCACTATACTGGATATGTGCAGAGTATTGAGAATTTACGAACAAAACAGAAGGAATGTTACCAAAGGAAACAAAGTGATGTATCGAGAAAAGGCGACTCTGCAACCACAATTCGGAGAGCACCAGCAATCATGGGAGAATGCTAAGCCAATGCTAAGCATATGTTTTAAGATGTTTGAACTATCATAATCTGTATTTCTGTACATGGGTTTTGCTCGAAAATGGTCATTATAATGGACCCAGAATTCATCCCTTCTGCGGAGATCTTTTGCGGAATCTTTTTACGGTGATACTCAGTGGATTAACACCAAAATAGGATCCATCGGGGTTCATTCCCTCCAAATATAATGGGTTTTGATCTCCATAACAGAAAGCGGGAATATTAGTGATGATCCAATCAAGCTGAATTTCATGGTAGTTGTCATTGGGCATATTGAGCTATGTGGTACGTTTTGCAATATAGCAGGCCACTACCAGGCACTACAAGCCACTGACCGAATCCAAGGAAGCCTGTCTTTCGGCAAGAATTGAGTCAAATCCCTTCCCCAAAATCGCACCCCAAATGACTAGATACAATACAAAAACGAAGCTTTCGGTGGAGTAAAGGAGGAACCAAGGGATTACCAAACATCAATCCTCTGACTAAACAGTTACCCTCTGGTAAACTAAGATAGTTATGGAAAATCACCATCTTCAACAGGTACATCAACTAAGTATAAATGTGCTATTTTCAATAGCGATTTTGACATAACCAGAGGGTAGATATAGTTAGATCATCCAAGGAACCACAAAAGGCGCCAACAAAACCAAAATGGGACAGTGAAAGGAAGCATTTTCTTGGGCCAGGGAGACCCCGCGATGAATCAACAGGAACTTCAGCCATAGATATATCATTGATAGGTATCATGCCATCTCAGAGTGCAATAAGAGTGCTAAAGGAACAACAAAATGTCCCAAGGTACTGAAGAAAGGACAAAACAAATTGAGCAGTTGGCGCAAAGGCTGTTGGATTGGTCGTCACCAATGCGGACCGCATTTAACGGTCATCATGTTTTAGCAACAACCCCCCTCTGAAAATCCCTGAAACATCAAAATCAAAACATGTCAAAACCCTCAAAACCTTCTGACACTTTTCAGCCAGAATCAGTGATGCTTCGGTAGTTTCAATGTACGAGTCAGGACAGTGTCTGTCAACGCAAACTTTGCCCACCATCGCTCGTGGGCCTTGTTTTTGGAGCGCAAGATCAACCAGTGCTTTGGAAGATTCAGAATGAATGCTTGCAAAGATCAACGCCGTGGTGGTGCCATGACTCAACAAAGTCTCCATGGCCATCCCGTAAACTGCCCGGGCCGTTCCCAACTCCGCCATGGATTCTTCGGTTGGAAAGGCATAGCTGGTGAGAAATCCCTCTTGGCCCATCAGAGGCTTGTCAATCCCGGCGCCAGTGAAGGGGAACTGAGGAAAATGGATGTGGGTGTCAATAAAGCCGGGAAGCAACACCTGAACAGTTTTTCGCAGTTAGCATTTGTTGCTGAATATATATCACCGTTTTTTGCCCCGTTCATGTTTTTTGCATTTGCTGGTGAAGTTGTAAGCAAATTTGAAGTGGACACCGCACAAATCAAACAAACAAATGGGATTTTCCAGATATCCAAATATCAACCATGGTTTTTTGGAAATCACCGGTTCAATGAAGACCCAACTGCATCTGGGTTCCAGACTGCTGCATACAAACGCTTACGACCGGTGGCAAAACTGGGTCAACGTTTGAGTATCAGCCGATAAAAAAGTACCCAACATGCGCATCGCCAATCCCTTGGATACCAGATAATTCTACCAGATAATCCCAGATGATCCCAGATGATCCCAGAAATGGCTCACCTCAGAATCTTCCAACAGCCGCACGTCAGTTCCATCTTCTTCCAGACGTCTCCGATGTTCATCTGCCGCAACGCCACGGTGCAGAGACGTGATAACTCCATCCAGAACGACCAGCAAAGTTCGTTCCTCCAAGCCACGGATTTCGCCAAATTTTGGGGTGTCTACACATGTGCCATAGAAAGCCACCGGTGCCATGGCAGGATTCTTGTTTCTACACTATTTAAGAACCTGATGGAATTTGAATTTATGTCCATCTCTGGGCTAAACATGATAAACCCAGTCTTTGGTTTCTGAAGAGCTAGGTTTGAGCTGAGATGCAAAAGCTGAACGCGAAATTGCACAGCTAAACCCTCTGTTTTGATCCGCAGGGCCTCAACGATAAATACATTGAGAAACATCCATGTGGCATGTGACATGGACTGCAAATGCTAGTTACACTTCTGATTTGTGCGTGTCATCCCATGACCTATGTGACATGAGAGCACAGTGCACAATGTTTTGGACTCCTCCTTTGGAGGTTGAGTTTTAACTGAAGCTCCAACTGTTTAATCTCACTGTAACTGTCCTCCAAACTGCGGTCACGCCTTTTTACAGCATGGGGCATGGAATGCTGGTCGAAGCCAGGCTTGGGGTTCGGCCTTCTTCACTGGCATGGGTGGCACAGTGGGTGGGCCAGTGAAAAATGACCAAGAAAAGAAACATGTTTCACATGTTAAATTGACATGTCATGTTGCACATGCACAGACAGGTCTAAATCACTTGAACCAGTTTCTCGGACGTTCACAACGTTCACTGCAGTTTCACTCGATTAGTTCGCATTCTTTCAGATAGCTTCATTAATCTCACTGTAACTGTCCTCCAAACTGCGGTCACACCTTTTTACAGCATGGGGCATGGAATGCTGGTCGAAGCCACCCCTCGTAGCTAATTCCAGTAGACCATTCCACATGCTGTCAAGGTTGATCTGAAATTGTTGCACACCTTGTGTAAGAAGTTTCTGTATCTCGCCTCGCGACGGGTCGTCAGCCACATTGGATTCTGAAGGAACTCTGCTAAACCAAGCGTTCCATTTCAAATCAAATTCAAGTTGGAGGAGCGCTACCAAAATCGGGGTAGCATTGTAGCTGGAGGTCTGACAAGCTATGAGCGCATCCTTTACGCCCTCATTATCAGTGCACACCACCACCTGCGAATCTTGTAAGTGTTGTGACCAGCATGTCATTGCAACAAAAATTGCAAGTAGTTCACATTCGAAAATGATGGTCTTCCGCTTGGTGATGTTGAGCTTGGCCAGCAAATCTTCTGTAAGAAAAACTGAAAAGAAACCTCTGTACCTGCCAAATTGATCAACCAACACAGCTCCAATTCCAGCTGTCTTTTCTGCATTATCCGGTTCATAGCATGCGTCTGTAAAGATGTACCAGGAGCGTCCCGTTGTCAAGGAAACCTCCCTCGGCACATCCATCAAGATCAGTTGATGAAAAAGCTTCAACGCATGACGCGTCTCGTCAGAGATGGTCGGGCCACATTCACCATAGGCATGCTTTGTAATGAGTGCTAATGAACGCTTAGCAATACGGCCAAAAATCTGACCAGCCACAAATTGTAACCTTCCTCTCAAACGCAATGCATCAGGCCTGATTAACGTGCCTGTGTCAAGGATCTGGGCGATGGCGGCCGCGATCTCAGCTTTTCGGCTCTCAGTGTTGTCGATCCGAACACGGCCGCGATGAAGAAGGGAAACATCAATCGTCGCCCCAAGAGCTGCAACAACGCTGGCAAACGGTGGTGCTTTGTCTCCGGTCTCAGCGAAGATCCACCCCAGCATCTTGAACGTTAACGTCACAGCAGCGGTGACCGAAGTCGTTTCACATGAGGTGGCCAGGGCGACAAAATCGTCGAAGTAATTTGAAATGAACACACCAAAAATTGAAACCATGATCGCCCACAGGCTGTGGGACAGCCGTAGAAAAGAATGTACTGACATGACACTGCCGAATGGGAGCGCCTTCATTTTGAAGCATTTGATTCGCTTCTCTGCAGGATGAGCCACCGCGATGTAGCTGTACTTGGAGTGCTCAGGGTGGATAGCGCACTGCCGGTACGCCCTCTTCAGATCGAAGCTCCTTGCCTCCCATGTGGAATCTCTTGTTGCTACCTTCATCAAAGCCAGGCACATGCTGCACAAAATGTCAACTGTATGTGGCTTCGGCGATTCACATGTCTGAGCGCAAGCATTGATGGAGGATTGGGTGAAATCATCCACACATCTCACCTTTGATGATTGCTTGATGCCAAATCGCCTGCTCAAAGGATATTCCTGAGGTACCTGTTCAACCTCATACGGGCCAGATAGCTCTCCGGCCTCAACCTCGTCCAACGTTTGATTCCAGACGGCGTTCAATGTTTCATCATCCATAAATTCAAAAGATTTGTAATTCAAGACTGATCGCTGCGACATCGCGATGTGGGACAGGTCGCTTTCGGTGAGTGAGGCAGGCTTGAACTTCTTCGGCCACAAACCTGTCGATTGAGCCTCACCCACCAATTTTGTTCCACTCACAAACTCGTTCACGACATCCATGTCCTCATATTCAATTGATTCAAGCATCTGTTTCCACAAGAGAATGCGCTTTCCACGCAGGACACTAGCCACTGCTGGATCCAGGTTGCTATGAAATTCACTTTCATCACCTTTAAGCTCCATTGCCCTCTTCAGCCAAAACTTCACTGCCGTAAGTCTGCTGTCCACCCTGTCGCAGCTGCTCATTGTCTCATAGTTAGTCAGTAGGGACTGCAACCTTGGTGGAAGGAATGTCGCCATGTCCATTGGATGGCCGGCTTTGACCACCTCCTGCACAAATTGTTCAGGTTCCCAAGGCACCCCCCATGTCTGAATCACGCACGACGAATCCAGGGTAGGGGTGCCTACTTTGAAAATCTCCGGTTGGGCAGGCATCTCATCCCCCGTGACCAGGTTGTCCACCGGAGCAAGTGCCAAAAGTTTGGAGCCCTTTGGAAGGATCTGTGTTGGTGAGGAGGAGATTGTAACATCCTTGCGCACTCTTTGAAAAATATTAACGTCAGGCAGCGCGTCTGAGTGGCCGCCAATCCGAAACCTCAACTTGTATGTAGGCACCAAGGCAGGAATCCGGCTAGACCTTGATTGTGTGCCGGTCGCAGCCCGCATCTTCTGCAACGCTTGGAGTGCCACAGGCTGCACAGCTTCCAATGTTTCTGGATTGCCTTTGATGCCAAGGTTTAACAGACAACGCACAATGACCATTGCAATCATCTTCGCCAACCCCATTGGGTATGCAGTTTCTTCAGCTGTCGCAAAAGACTTTGTCTTGCGGTTAAAACCCCATTGCGCATGCTTATGCTTGCTGTTCTGTCCTTTGCAGGTGGCATTTATCGCATGAAATTCACTGACATTGAAAGCCAACATAGTCTTCTTTTGTCGCGCACTTCCATACTGACATGAATGAAATACAGAATATTGTAAAAGATGTGCAACCTGCTGCCAAAAGGTTGTGGTCCAAAAGAAACTGAACTGCGGATTTTCCACACATACAATGACTCCGTTTTCAACGGCCCATTCCACAATCTGTGCAGTAAGAAAATAAAGTTGATTTGCCAATGAGACCCTACGATTATCTGTATCAGAGAGGTTAGGGAGCCCATTGGGGTGTTCATCATCCCGCAAAGGTCGTGGTCCATGACGTCCCCTTTCAGGATGACCAAAACGTTTTCGCTTCAGCGGTATCTGTCTCGCTCTTGAGGCTGATCCACATGGCGGCGCCAAAAAGACTGCTAGAACTCGTTCATTCTGCAGCCATGACCAGAGTAGTGCAACCCCTTCAGGCGTGCACAGGTCTGCAACGATCACAGGCCCTGAGGCGTTTTTACCTCTTTGGTGATCTACACCAAAACTGCTGCCTAAACCCAACTGGCGTAGGCTTGCTGTAACCCGGCAGCTTCCTGCAAAGATCTCGATGACCAAACAGTCGGCCAAGGAGGCCCCAGCAGCTGCCGCATCGTTGATGCGTTTGTATAGTCAATTGGGCTTCGCGGACCCCTTCTCCTTCGGGTGTTCAGATTCAGGATGAGGTGCATGACATCCACGTCGCATGCAAAGGTGGAAGCCCCTTTCACATTCGCCACCATTCGGGACCCGGGAGCAACGGCCCAAGTTGAACTCAAAGCAAAGCCTCCGGTCATGAGCATCAAGAGATACGTCGTCTCTTCCTTGCAGCTCCTTGGGGACCATTGCTGCTGCCTTCTTTGTCTTACCTTTTCCCTTTCCAGCTTTGCCTTGCCCCTTCGAGTAAGGCTGCTGCGGGTTCCTGCGGCCCTGCGGCCAGTTTCCATAAGACGGTGCTGCTGCTGATGCTTTGGGCTCAGACCTTTCGATCTTCTTCGGCAGCGGCATCAAGCTGAAGCCAACCTCATACGACGACACTGCTTCCAAGATGGCGGTGTCCATAGGCAAGGTGTTGTCAGGAGCCCTCCGCATCGATACATCTCTCTGGACCATGTGCAGAAAAACATCTCTGTCGGCACGGAGGACCTGTTGCAACGTTGTCTTGCTATACCCTTCAGGGGCCTCGTTCCTCATGTGTTGGAACAAACGTTGCAAGTACCGCTCATGCACCTCCCACGTCAGTGAGTCCGTGAATGCCAGTGCTATACCACGGCGTCGTAGGGCTTCATAGACCTGCATCTCTGTTGACACCTGCTGGTCTGGCACTGACTGTTCGCTCTTGACAAGCAGCTTGTCAGTGTCAATTGACAACTGCTTTGAGGTCTTCGACATCGTGATCTCCCATTCTCGGGAGGTGCATTTCTCCGGGGACAAGTAGGCCAGTTGCTTGGCCTCCCATTGCTGTGCCACCGCATCCAACAGCGCATAGCTTGGCTCCAGCGCCTTCTCTATGACCACACCCACCAGGCGCGCTTTCAAGTTCTGCATCTTGGTGCTGCGCTCGATTGCAGGGAGTTTTCTGGTGGCGGCAGCGTCCGGGTTCACAACCTGATCTCTCAGCTGGGCCAGTAAGACAGTCTGCCCTTCGAAAACCAAACGCTTCAGAGTGCTGGTGTCGGCCAAAGTAGCTAGTCCACCCAAGACATTTTGGGCAAACCGCTGGAACTCGGCCTCGTTGAGAGGTTGCCCAGGTTGGCCGCTGGCAAATGCT